ATCTCGGCTAGCTTAAGCTAACAGTTAGCATTAGCAATTTCACCACACGGCAGAATTCCTTCGAACTTGTTATTTGTGGAGATATATTCCATGTTGTAAGTCTGTGGTTGAGTCACATTGCAGTTATCCAGTTCGGAGCGAGATGTCTAAATATCAGGAAATAAGACTCCAAAATCTGCCGTCTGAGGCTCAGCTGTGATGTGAGACACATTTAGGTCAGCAAAAAGGTGGCTGGATATTTTCCCCCCCGAGAATGACTTACAAGGCATTCATTCCTACTAGAGATCACTGCAAATGTACTGATTAAATGAGTGAACCACGTCTTTAATATGGTAGTTTTTCTCCGGTATTACAGGAAGTGTGATTACTTGCTGTCTTGCTGTTAGCTTGCTGTTACAGTTCTGAACGACTCAGTAAAGGAAGTAAAATGCCACAATTGACTCATAATTCACTCCACACATACATTTCAGTGTAATATCCAGTTGTTGGGAATTGAAAAAGTAGCTTAAGATGGGTTTAGGGGCGACTATTTGCTTTGAATTCACCGTTAGCATTGTTGGCTCAAAATTAACCTCTAGCCTTCTTCACCCGACATTAGAGTCAAACAAAAGGACATCGTGGCTTCTTAGGGGCTCAATAAATAACTTCTGGGTCGCTCCTGTTTTCTGGCCTCGGTTCTTTAAACAACTCTGGAGCTTTCTGCCTGCCGGTGTAGAAATCTGCAGTGTTAGCTAGCTACAGATTTGGCAACCTCACAACTTCACTGACTGTAAACAGTACCTACATCCCTCTTTAGTTTCTTTTGGAAAGGAGAAAAACTAACAACCCCAGCTCGTTCCTCCAACACGATGGAGACATTAGACTTTTTTTGTGATTATTTTTGTTCTCACATGTTGCACCTTCAACTCTTTGGTGTTTTAGTTGTGCGTTTCACAGCTGAACTGTGAGGCGAACTGATTTTATTAAGCCGCCTCAAATAGCATCCACATCCAAGGTGCTTTGATGAGGCCTGCAGAAGAAACCAGCTCGTTTAGTTCAGTCTTCTTTTTTTCTTCCTCTTGCTGTCATTCATTTCTACAAACACCGAGTGAGTCACGCTGCTCTTAGAGTGCTTATGTTGAGCTCCATGAGCAGCATGAGTGTGGAGGAGGCAAAGCAGAGACAACAGAGCACCACTGGTCCCTGAAGGTTGAATAGAAGAGGGGTGATGCTGAGCAAGCTTTATCACTCGGATACACGGCAAGGATCAGTCACCACAGTCTGCATCTCCTCTTCTTTGCCCTGTCTCCTCATGTTCACATTTTTTTTGCGTCTCCCCATCGAATCTGTCTCCTCTCTCACCCCACGGCCTTTTTGCATCTTTTTGTTTTTATCCATCACATTAAAGATGAAACATGAAATGCCATCTCGTTATGCGTCCCTCATTCTTACCCTGGACGCTTTTCCTGCTATATTTACGTGTTTACTCAGATACAATTTCACAGGAGTATTAAAAGTACTGGGAAATATCTGAGATTAAAGTTGCAGAGGGGTATTTGATGTTTTATTATGCTTTTTTTTAAATGCACAATTCCTCTCTAATCTGAATTTTACAGTTTCACCACTTGGAAATTCAGAATTATGGCCCAGAAATGAGATTTAGATGCTAAATTCAAAGTAATAATGGGATTAGGAGCCACTTTTTTGTCACCTCCAGCTGTGCTGAGAGCCGTAAAAGCATTCCTTATTGTTTTGTCCTCCAGGTGCTGCTGATTGAAGGTCTTTTGTGTAATCCAAGTCAGCCTGTGGGTGCCATGTGATCTTCATCGGCATGCACCTCCTGCAGTCTGGTGACGTCCGTCACCCACAACCATGCCCTGTTGAGTGTGTGTGTGTGTGTGTGTGAGAGAGAGGGAGCACTGCTGCTGTGCCAGCATATTCCTCAGTCCTGACCATTCTTCTGGCTGAATACGGTCCTCAAATCCCTCCAGCCGCCGGTTCCTGAACTATCCTCTTGTCAGTGCCAAGCAGGCAGGATAGAGCAGCATGTAAGGCACAGTCTGTGACCCCCTTTTGTCCTCCATTGGGGCAGAACACTGTTAAAATGATGGATGGAGCAGCAAGACGGAGTTACACAATCGCTGTTGGGGAATAAAATACGACCATCCCTGGAGGATGGACTTTGGAGGGCAACCAAAGGAGCATATGTGGTGGTTACCCTCTGCCTTGCAACTGACTGGATGGATGAGCCATTGGGCTATAAGTTTTCAAAATTATGTTGTTTTATAGATTTGATTAACATTACTGCATGATATGTGATTTAATTACATTTCAGCCTTTAATTCTAGGCCCATTCTGGGGTTTTGTTTGCTACAAAATCTCGATTCCCATCCTGGGTTTTTGAGGCATTTTTAATTTCAAGATGGTGATAATAACAGACCACCCACTGTTGTTCTTTCCAGATATAATTTATAGGTTATTGTCTCTGGGTGGGTAATATCCTGTTACTTTGTGAAGACCTGCACTGCTGAGGTGATTTGGCTCTCCGGGCGGCAGGATATGAGAAACGACGCAGAGAAAGGAGTTTAAAAGATGAAACGAGATATGTGAGGGAAAGGGAAAAAGAGACAGGAAATACGAATGAAGAATTTTTTTGTTGCTGTTTTAATATAACACTTCATACAATTTACATTTATTCTCTTTCTGCTCTGTTTGCAGAGAAGCTTAAACCGTTTTTGGAGCCCATTGTTGTTTTTCTTTACTCAAATCCATGTGTGCTGTTCTGTTTTGGGCTGATAAGAGGGTTTATTGCAGGATGTTTAATACATTTCTTTCTTTCTCCCAGTGGTTTTTGTAAAGAAGTAATTTAATAAGGATTTGATAAGAATTGGGAACATTGTTGGAGCCTTTCTTATAGAAGAACCAACTTTTTTTTTACCTTTTAAGGAAAAAAAGACCAATAAGTTGCTGGATTTAAAGGTACAATATGTAAGAGTTCTACAGTGAAATAATCACAAAACAGTCTAATGTCTGTCGTGTTGGAAGGAAGGTTAAACTGAAGCAAATTTTACTCTCAGCCGGCTGGAGGGTTGTCAGCTTTTCTCCTTTCAAAACACTAAAGAGGGATGTAGATGGTGTTTACAATCAGTGAATTTGTGCCGCTGCAGAATCTGTGCCAAGCTAACGCTGCAACGTTTAATTTGTAATTAAACATTGGCAGACAAAAAGCTCCAGAGTTGTTTAAAGAAACAACGCAAAGCCAGTAAACAGGAGCAACCTAGAAGTTATTTCTTGATCCCCTAAGAATCCATGTCATATTTATGTTTTACTCAAATATCGGGTGAAGCTGGCTAGAGGCTAACATTGAGCTAACAATGCTAACATTGAATTAGAAGCAAATAGTCAACTAATAAAACATCTCAAGCTACGTTTTCAAGTATCAACAACACGATATTACAGTGAAATGTGTGTGGAAAAAAATAACGAGTCAGTCGTGGTGTTTTACTTCCTTTAAAGAACCGTTCACACCAGCTAGCTAACAAAAAGATTCATGTAATGCCGGGCACACATTACCATAATAAGTGTAGTAAGTGCTCCCAATGGTAAAACACCTAAGAGTGCAAATTCCAGTTATGACAATGTATTTACCTACTTATCAACTTAATGCATGTGACCCATCTGTGCTTGGATCTGGCGCTGATGTGTAACTGGCAACAGCCATGAAACTCATGGAACAGCAGTGAGAAAGTGGATTTTTGTTTAGAAAAATGGCCTGCAGTAACCAACTTTGACCACAGGATGTCATTTCCTTTCATTCACATATTGCACCTTTAAGATGGTATCTAACTGTGCTGTTACTGTGAAACTGTGAACAGCATTTATAGCTGCTCTTTTCTGCTTGTATAGCAGCACCATTTTCTGTTTTCTTTATGGCTGATAAAACGGAAAATAATGATTTTCTGAGTTTCGTTAACAAAGGCAGCAAAAGTGGTGCTGCTGTTAACCAATCAGAGGCAAGACATTTGCGTATCATGAAGATTCCAACTCACTGGGCGTTCATACTACAGATCACAGTTACTGACAAAACATTTGAAAGCGACTTTTAAAATGTGAATTCTGCATAGTACTGATTAATCATGCTGGTCTCCCCATGTGCATGTGTGTATGAATGCACTTCTTATGTAATCTGGCTTGGAGGATGTGTTCCTTGGGTCTCAAGAGGGATTTAGACATTCGAGGGCTGGTTAACACACACCACACACCTGCTGCCTGTGCAGCTAAACCGAGACCTGGTCACAAACTCCGTCACACTGCTGAAGGGGTTTGGTGCCGCCGCCCAAGAAAACACCCTCTGAGAGGAACGAATTAGGAACATTTCGAGGGTGTGTGTTCATGTGAAATGTTCACGTGCGAGTTCCTACTTTCACAGAAGCATTTTGAAGCATATGCGCACATTTACAAAGGCGTAATAATGAGAGAGTGCTAATCCATCGCCGCAGCCTCACAAGTTCACACGTTTCCATCTTTCAGCAGCGATCCAGGTGTAATTATAGAAAGTGTGCTCTGTGATTCTGGTAAACAGCTTTGACTCGCCCCTGTGCTGGAAGTCCGCTGGAGATTTTTCCACATGTCCAACTAAGGTGATAAGTTTAATGAGTTTTCCTTCTCTCTGTGGCAACATGACGTTGCATTTGGCTCACCTCTGTGATGATTTCAGACCGTACTGGGTTAATAATTCACCTGGAATTGCCAAGCTGCTTCCTGGGATGCCCTTAGGTCAGGTGTGAGACCTCTGGAGATTTTGGGTCGGTGGTAACAAACGCTTCAGAAGCTGTGATCTCAGGGGTAGTGGTGGAATGGGAGGTAATGAACAGTTCTCGAAGTTCTGATTCAATGTGGAACAGAGGGTCATTAGGATCATTAATGAGAGAATTGGACACAGTTATTGGTGTTTTAATCGTCTGCTGATGTTTAAGCAGTTTGAAAGGTCTTGATGAACGTTTTTGATGTGCCTCTTTTAGCTATTATGTATGTAATGGGAGCCCTGGGACCTGCTGCTGGGTACCTGCTGGGAGGCGTCCTCATCGGCTTCTACGTCGACCCCAAAACCGTCGTAAACATCGACCAGAATGACCCTCGCTTTGTTGGCAACTGGTAAACATGCATGCACACCTGCAGGCCTTCGTGTCTTTTATATATTTTTCTTTACGGCTCATTCTCTTGTTTTATTTCCAGGTGGAGCGGCTTCCTCCTGTGTGCTGTCGCTATGCTTCTGGTCATCTTCCCCATGTTTGCCTTCCCGAAAAAGCTGCCTCCACGTCACAAGAGGAGGAAGAGGAAGAAAAAGATGGGCTCACCCGGTGACGAGTCCAGCGATGACGACGTGATGAAGGAGAAGTCTGCTGGCAAAGGCCAAAATGTGTCCTCTATGGGCTTTGGAAAGGACATCAAAGGTGAGGAAGAGATTATTTTAGAGCATTATTAGTATTTTATACAGAGGAACTGTGAGCTATTGATGTACAAACAGGCTATAATCCCTTCAGTGTCGAGGATTAGCCAACTCGGCCCATAATTGGAAGCTTCATTGAGATATGATGGATGAGTGTAAACAAAGATCGAGAACAGCCAGGTTTTGGAGTAAATAGACATCAAACATCTATTTGCGTTGCTGCTTGAACATTTTAATTCCTTGCCTGAGCCAGATGCAGCAGGAATCTCCCGGTTTTCCCCAGATAAGCCCCCCCCCCCCACGCCAGTGTTTCCCAGTTTCCTCTTGTCTCCTGGTTCTCTTTTAAATAAGCTCCCGGGGGACCTCCATCACATTTCCCCACACAGGAGTCGACAGGCTGCACAGCGCAGCTAAAACGCAGCTCTTGTTTTTTTGCTATCATGCAATACAAGTCGTGCAAATTCAAACGCGTATTTAGCACGGCTGTGCACGCCCAAACAAATGCTCTCCGTGCACAGCCGGGGCAGTCCAAACAGTGTGCTGGAGATGCGCGCGGCGTGTAGGCTGTGAATACATTAAAGCTCCGTCAGATCGCTGCTCGCTCAGCTGCTGTTTTATTCGTCTCAGCAGGATGTTTGGGGCTGCTGTGCAAACCGCGGCCACTTTCGCAGACTCAGGCTCTCCAGTGTGTGGATCCCGAATGTATTTTGGTACAGTACGTGTCCTTCTGTCGAGGTGTGCTTGTTTGTCTATTGCACAAATTCAGCACTTTCCGTCAACGATACGCTTTCACCGTGTTTTCCTTTTTTTCGTCCTTCACATCACAAGCGAACACTGAAAAACGCCAACACCGGGCGTTTTCTGTAATGCACGCATCAAAGGGACAAACCTCAGATCGGGGTGTGTTCCAGACCTTTGGTCTGCTGCTGTGTGGAAGCACTTGGGGAGGAAAAATGACTGCTGACATAGTGTATCATAACCACGTCTCACTAAGTGATTAATTACCCCCCGGGATTAGAAATGCAGAGACGGTGTTTTCAGCTGAAATATTCGTACACTCAACTGAGAAAAGAGCGTTTGACTCGAGACTTTCATTGAGATTGTCACGTCTGAGCGTCTTTGCTGGTACTGAACACGCAGAAGAAAGGTTTTTCTTATCTTGCAGTTTTTTCATTTACTGGGTGATCTATTATAAACTGTCAGAGTAAATTTAATCCAGCTTTAAATGTTCCAGATCATGCTGTTATAACCTTTGAGAGCAAAGGTAGGCCCAATAAGTATTACCGTTGGCACTATCGAGATGTCATTTTATCTTAAATACGAGTTATTTTTGTCAGCTTGACTTTATACCCGGAAATCAAACGGTTTGTTTCAGTGAAGCTCCGCCCACGCCCTCTTCAATGACACGTGCCAACAACAGCGCCTTAGGCGAGTCTGCTGTTGTATTGGCCTTGGTAGTCCAGCGCTTAAAGCGTCTGCCTTTCATCTTGTTTTGCACTTAGTTTCCAGCTAGGCTTCTGCAGGCTTTCAAAATAAAGCTCAGGAAAACAGGAAAATGCATTACTGTAGCCAAAAACGTTTTTGGGGTGTTTTTGATGAGGAAAAAACTAAATCAAAGGGTTAAAAGCTCAGAAAAGTGGATTTTCGATGACATGGCCTTTATATGAATATCGGGAATCAATTAAAATTCTATACTTTTACAATAAAATACGGAGATCTCAGTCGAGCTGGTACCAGCTCAGTGAGTCGTGGAGGATGGCTGCTTATACTGAGCCAGGATTCTCTGGAGGTTTCTTCCTGTTAAAAGGAAGTTTTCCTCTCCACTGTCGCTGCATGCTTGCTTAGTATAAGGATTGCTGTATAGTCACTGACACTAGTCAGTGACTTGATGCAATTTGCTGGGTTCCTTATATAGGAAACATTATTTCTGACTGGCTTAATGAACTGACCTGAATTGGAATGTTTATTATGTGAAGTGCCTTGAGACGACTCTTGTCGTGATTTGGTGCTATATAAATAAACTTGAATTGAATTGAATTGAATAGATGGACACCATTACTAAAAGTGACTTATTCTTTCTTGTAGCATTTTATGAGCATGTCCTGGCCAAGTGGGCGGGGCAAACCAGTCTTTCCATTTCAGGGCTTTATTATGGAGGTGTGTTCAGCCATTAATCAGGGAATGCTGCAGCACAGCTTATTAGATACGTACTGTACTGTTTGATGGTGTTACATGTGTTACATTGTGGCGATGATTTTACTTGAAGACCTCTTCTGTGGTCTTCTTCTTCCAGAAGACGAGTGTCCTACTGGTACCAGCTCGACTGAGCTGTTTGCATGCAGAGGAATAAGTTTTCCAACCACATTATCTGGGAACTTGAGCACGGTTGCAGCCAGTTTGCCTTCAGCCAGACGAACGCATTAATGAACCCAATGTCCGTCTATTTAGGTCAATAGTTGGGTTCTCTGATGTACATGTAAACACACTGAATGTAATCCATGAAACCTCCAAGGTTTCTCCTTGGAGTTAAACTGCGTGTTGATGAGTGCTGTTTAGGTCCCCACAGAGGGCTGCTCTCTACGTGTTACAAATCTTTGCTCAGGTCTGTTTACAGAAGATTTCATCACCATGTATTCATCCGTGACATTGTCCAGCATCTACAAAGAGCTGCTGCAGATACCAGCAGGGCCCGTCCATCTGTCCCACTCCAGACCACATCACACCATGACTACTAGGAATGAAATATGCACTGGCACTATTTTATTCCCTCCTTTGATCCTGGATCACACTGACAGATGCTTCTGATGCTTCCCCGCCCTCAATGAGATCTGTGAATTAGCGCTGGGAGGCCCATTCCCCAAACCACGACACTGTGTCACGCAGTCAGACTGGTTAGCTTTCTAATGATCTCTGCTTCTCCCTACTTTGCGTTTTGGTGTTTTTCTGACAGACTGAAGTAATGTAGTAAGAGCATTAAATGTTGGCATCTGTTTAGTCCATCTAAGTGGTGCAAATACAGGAGAAATTTTAGCGGCTGCTTGAAAGGAAGACACATCTGGACTGTGGAGATCGTCATTCTGTCACACGGCTCATGAGTATATTCCTGAGCCTTATCAGGATGGACGTCTGAGTGTGTCGCTGACTTCAGATCTCTGGTGTGGAAATTTTAGGCCAAGTTACCTCCGCTGAATTTTTAGTGTCTGTTGTTAAGAAATGATTAAGCGATCATCTAACCTATGAGAACCCACCCAATTGGCCAAATGGGTGAAGAGCTCTATTTTATTTGTTAAAAAAAAACCAGAATGATTGACGGAATGCATTATGTGTAGCAAACATTTGAGCTGACCATTCATTGCGATATTTATCTGTTCTTTGCAATATGCATATTGTGCATGCTGATATCACGATAACAATATATTTACGATATATTGTGCAGCCCTAATTTTTATTAAGAATTTACTGTTAGACAGTAAACTGTCATTCAGGAACGTTTTTGCCATCTTCCAGGTGATTGGTCAGTACTAGTGCTGGACATTGTGGACAAAAACTTTTCAATATTCAATATTTTTTAGCTGGATGAGCCGGATACTCGTTTCAGACGAATATCCGGTACGGATAAAGCATTTTTGACGAGTACGAGCATGAAACGAGTAAAACTTGTAAATATCTGTAATTTTGCTGAAGGAAAATCCTCATTGGGTAACTGACTGTCTTCACGCTCTGTGATTGGCCAGTCAAATAGAGCGCCCGCCCCTCCCTAACTGCAGCCGGGAACTCTGCTCAGTCCGTGTCCGGTCCATCCACGCACACACAGACAGTAATGGATCTCTCTGTGCTTGCTTCACTGTTCACGTTTCTTCAGTACTCCCTATGTTTTCTTCAGTTTGCTTCTTTTTAAAGTTACTTTAAAGTTACTTTTTTCGTAACTTACGTGGTGCATTTGACAAGACAGAGCTGAAAACGGCTCGTGCTGCGACAGTCACTGCTTCCGCTCCGGTCGGGTTTTTTTTCCTCTCTCTCTCTTCCTCAGGATCCACTCCCTCTTTCCTATTCACTCTCTCTCTTTCTTTACATTTTTTAATCACAATTGTCTATTTTTTGCTCATTTTAAATATATTTTAATCATTTTCTAAAATCTTTTTTATATTTTACATGTTTTGTTTTTGTGAAGCGCCCTGTGATTTTTATCTTGAGAAGCGCTATAGAAAAGATCTTTTCGTCTCTCTCTCTCTTTTAATTCATGCACTTAAATATTAATGTTCTGATTTTATTGAAAAACTTGTTCTGTAACAGTTTCTTTTCTATTGTCATCAAAAACATTTAATCTCAACTCTGAGGCTGCTCTGTAAAAAGTTTTCAAATAAACAATACGCATAGAAACTTCTGATCAGACTTAAAATAACGTATTGATGTAAACCACACCCACTTCCGGTTAAACTACACCCCACTTCCGGGTTAGGCCACGCCCACTCCGAGTACAGATACAGATAATTTAGATGGTTGAACAGATACAGATACAGATAGTGGTGTACTCGCTCATCCCTAGTATAAATGTCTTGATATTTTTCTGACCATAAAGTATTTACAGAAAAATGATCAGCTAAGAGTCAAAGCTGAATATCTCAATTCAATTCAATTCAATTAAAAAATACTTTATTAATCCCAGAGGGAAATTGATTGCTGCAGTAGCTCAGAATAATAATAATAATCAAGTCATCAAAGAGTTGTTGTATATTACAATGGCTGTTGGCAGGAAGGATCTCCAGTAGCGGTCAGTGTTGCAGCGAAACTGAAGAAGCCTCTGACTGAAGACACTCTTCTGGTGTCGGACAGTCTTGTGAAGAGAATGCTCAGGGTTGTCCATAATTTTCTTGATTCTCTGGAGAATCCTTCTTTGCATTATCTCCTCCAGTGGTTCCACAGTCGTCCCCAGAACAGAACCAGCCTTTGTTATTAGGCTGTTGAGCTTTTCAGGTCCCTGTTTCTGATGCTGCTACCCCAACAGACGATGGCTGAAGAGATTACACTCTCAACAACAGACTTGTAGAAGATCTGCAGCATCTTGCTACAGACACTGAAGGACCTAAGCGTCCTCAAGAAGTGCAGTCTGCTGTGTCCCTTCTTGTAAACGGCTTCGCTGTTCTTTCTCCAGTCTGTTGTCCAGGTGAACTCCAAGGTATTTGTATTCCTCAACCACCTCCACTTCTTCTCCCATGATGGAAACAGTGTTTGACTCCACCCTGTTTCTTCTGAAGTCTAAAATCATCTCCTTTGTTTTGTTCACGTTCAAGGTCAGATGATTGTTTCCACACCATGCCACAAAGCACTCCACCAGCTCTCTGTACTCAGCTTCCTGTCCATCTCTGATACACCCGACAACTGCAGAGTCATCTGAGTATTTCTGTAGATGACAGGTCTCTGATTTCTACTGGAAGTCTTAGGTGTACAGGGTGAAAAGGAATGGTGAGAGTACAGTCCCCTGTGGTGCTCCAATGTTACTGATCACCTGGTTTGATGTGCATTTCTTCAGCCTCACAAACTGTGGTCTGTTTGTCAGGTAGTCTTTAATCCAGGCGATAGTTGAGGCCCCCACCTGTGTCTTCTGGAGTTTCTGGCAAAGTACATCAGGCTGGATTGTGTTAAATGCACTGGAGAAATCAAAGAACATGACCCTGACAGTGCTGCCTGCTTTGTCCAGATGACAGTGGATTGGTTGAAGCAGCTGGATGATGGCATCTTCAACTCCAACTCCATGGCGATAAGCAAACTACAGCAGATCCTGATATGTCCTAGTTTGCTTATTCAGGTGGACCAAAAGGAGTCTCTCCAGGACCTTCATGATGTGGGATGTGAGGGCAACCAGTCTGTAGTTGTCATCGACTGATGGGCGAGTTTTCTTTAGAACTGGAACAAGGCAGGATGTCTTCCACAGGACTGGAACCTTCTCCTGGGCTCGGCTGAGGTTGAAGAGGTGCTGCAGAATCCCACAGAGCTGCTCTGCACAGGCCTTCAGTACCCTGGGGCTGACACCATCTGGACCTGCAGCCTTGTTCCTGTTCAGTCTCTCCAGCTGCCTCTTCACCTGACTTCTAGAGACAGATATGTGGAAGGGGGAGGTAAATAGGGCAGCAGCGTCTCCTGACTTGGTTGAAGACAGATTTATAGAACCAAAAGAGTCCATAAATGTGTTAGAGGACAAAAGAGCTGGCGTGTGACAGGAAAATGTTGGATCAGAGGAGGATGGGATGTCTGATTGGCTGGGGACAGGTGAGGAGGATCCTGGGTTTGTTCCTGAACTGGTCCTATTGAAGAACTTGTTCAGTTCATTGGCTGTGTCCAGGCTGCCATCTGTGCAATCCTTTCTTTGCTTGAAGCCTGTGATCTTCTTCATCCCTGACCCGACATCTCTGATATTGTTCCTCAGTAGTTTGTTCTCCAGCTTCTTCCTGTATGCATCCTTGCTGTCTCTGATCTTGATCTTCAGCTGTTTCTGTATACTCCTCAATAATTCCCTGTCTCCCTCCTTGAAGGCTTTTTTATTTCTCATTTAGCAGATTCTTCAGTTCACTGGTGATCCAGGGTTTGTTATTAGCAAATCATCTCACTGTTCTGGTGGGTATGATGTTGTCCACACAGAAGTTTATGTAGTCAGTGACAAATCCAGTCATGGCATTGATGTCCTCTTCATATCCTTGGCAGAGAGTCATCCAATCTGTGGTCTCAAAACAACCCTGCAGGGCTTTTTCAGTGTGCTGTGACCATTTTCTCACAGTTCTTCTTGTCACAGGTTGCTTCTGAACAAGTGGTTTGTATTCTGAGCAGAGAAAAACAAGATTGTGATCTGATTGTCCCAAAGGCGGTCTTGTTTTGGACATGTATGCATTCTTTACATTTGCATAACACAAATCCAATGTCTTGTTTTCTCTGGTGGAGCAGCTGACAAACTGTTGAAATGTTGGAAGTGTAGCAGAGAGTGAGGCAAATATTGGCAAATAATATGGGCGACAACTTACTGCCAAGAGTTCAACATCTGGGCTGCAGAGATGACATTTCACTGAAACATAACCTGGATGGCACCATCTGTTGTTGACAAGCACTGCCACTCCACCTCCTTTTCTATTCCTGCTCCTCTTCAGATCTCTGTCTGCTTGTACAGTCAGGAATCCTGGCAGAGGGACGCTGGAATCGGGGATATGGTCCTGCAGCCACATCTCAGTGAAACACATAACACTGCACTGCTGAAACTCTGGCTGAGTCCTTGAAAGGGCTTGGAGTTCCTCCATCTTGTTGGCCAGGGATCTCACATTGCCCATTATGATCGATGGAAGAGATGGTTTGAATTTCCTCTTTCTCTGTCTCTGTTTTGCTCCCGCTCTTCACCCACGCTTCTTGTGTTTTAGCTCAGTTGGGATTTGTGGCTTTAGTTGAGCTGTTATTTCAGCCTTTCCAATGTTAATCAGCTGCTCCCATTGTAAACCAGCTTGTTGCCATGGTTACACATCATAACAAATGCTCAAAAAGTTAAAAAAATGAAAAAAGTGAAAAAGTGAAAATGATGGCTCAATTGTCACATGGGCAATTTTATTTAAAATGCATTCATAATCTATGTAAAATCATTTAAATTCCATATGTTGTAACTAGGATGTTAGAAATAAAAATATATATTGTATGAATAATATTTCTTATGGTACTGAATCAATATTTAAAAGCAGTTTGTCTACTTTTTAAATGTTTTCTTTTATGTGGCGCAATTAAAATTTCTGCCACTAGGTGGCAGCAGCATTTACCGCCGTAATCCTGACAGAATGAGATCTCACGATAAATTGGATGTGTTTTGGAATCATCTAGCCTTGTTTACCAATTAAATTCAGTCTTAAAAGTCGCAATTATCATTTATCTTTAAGTATCGGATATCGCATCGCTATATCGTGTCGATATAGCGATGCGTGATATTCCTGTGTTGTATCACCAGATTGCTGCCACTCTTTTATTAAAATCTAAAGGAGATCTTGACCTGACATTTATTGTTTGGGATTTGAAAATCTGAAAACATTTTCAGGACAAAAACAAAGACACACCCTCAGCTAACAAGCCCTGACAAACCGTACCGTAGCTGCGTCGCTAATTAGCCTCAGAAATACTAGTTTTACATAACCGGATAATCTGGTCTACCAAAAAATCCCTCCAGCACTTTTATTGATGAAACTACGATTCCAGCTAAACTAGTTGTGTAACTGAAGGCGGTTTCCTTGTCTGAAGAGAACATGACGGGTTGGATGGGCATTTAAGTAGCACCAAAGGTGAAGCACGTAAGGCTACCAGTTTAGATTTGGGATGTCATTAAAATCACTTTAAATATTTCAGAACTAAAGCAGAAAGAGTTTGTTTATAAAGAAGCTGAAGCTGGTTGATTCTGCCCTGCAGCAGTAGTGCAGAAACAGCTGGACCATGTGACTGTTAAATGACCGAATGTGAGGACACAGCCCTCCAGCATACATGAAGGTCCTTTTAAAGATTAATTAAACATGGTGTCATTTGTTTTCATGGTTGGATCTTTCCCGGTATGATTTCTGTGATAAAATATATTTAATTACAACTCACAGATGAAATCTTCTTTCTTCTCCTGTCGTTTACCTCCAGACCTCCCCAAGGCTGCACTGAGAATCCTCAGCAACATGACCTTCCTGTTCGTCAGCCTGTCCTACACAGCTGAGTGTGCCATCGTCACGGCCTTTATCACCTTCATTCCCAAGTTTATCGAGTCTCAATTTGGCATCCCAGCATCCAACGCCAGCATATACACAGGTGAATCCCTTTGGGATGCTCTACTCCAGGGTTTTATTGGTGGTTTTATTAGTTTGGGGTGAGATCGCTCCTGTCATTTATAGATTTTATGGTAAAATGTTGCAATACAGCAAAGTCATTGGTGAGTTTTCTGTGAGTGAGCAGAACTCTGGTCTCCTGTGGGCTGTTGGTAAAGGATGTGTGGGAGAAGAAAGATATCCTCCAGTAAGCCCGGACTGTTACCAGTAGTCTGTTTAAAGGCGTACTTTGCAACTTTTTCTTAGTTTTTAATCATTTCACTCTGAAAACCACATGTAGAGTATCAGGTAAGGATAAGTACATAAACATAATAACCCACACTTGTATAGCTCCTCTCAGAGTAAGGACTCCAAACCGCTTTACACTATGGTGTATCATTCATCCATTCACACACATATTCACACACTGGTGGTGATGAGCTACGATGTAGCCACAGCTGCCCTGGGGCGCACTGACAGAGGCGAGGCTGCCGAGCACAGGCGCCACCGGACCCTCCGACCACCACCAGCAGGCAAGGTGGGTTAAGTATCTTGCCCAAGGACACAACAGCAGAATTCTCTGTCCGGAGCCGGGATCGAACCTGCAACCTTCCGATTACTGGACAACCCGCCCAACCTGTTGAGCTACTGCTGCCCCATAACCCACCAGATCCGGTGTTAATGTTTGACCCAAATCTCTCCCTCTCTCTCTCTCTCTCTCACACACACACACACACACACACACGCACGCACGCACGCACGCACGCACGCACGCACGCACGCACACACACACACAGCCTAATCCCTCAGCTGTGTATGAGTCAGTGTTGCTAATACACATCTAATCTGGTGGCAGGATTATTACAGTGAAAATTGATTGCAAACTTAATTAGGCTTTGAGTTTGTGTGTGTGTGTGTGTGTGTGTGTGTGTGTGTGTGTGTGTGTGTGTGTGTGTGTGTGTGTGTGTGTGTGTGTGTGTGTGTGTGTGTGTGTGTGTGTGTGTGTGTGTCAACATATGGTTGCTTATAGGTGCCACACAGAAGTCTACACAATGCATCCAACTGTTGCCAGGATACAGAGGGTAAGGGGCAGACAGGTGGTGCAGTTGCCATGGCGACCTGAACACTGCCAAGTAATTTGGTTGTGACGAGGGTTAGAGATGAGGGGGAGGAAGAGACTCCGGTGTGCCTGTTTCAGGAACTAGAAGTGAATCAGATCAAAGCAGAGCTGAACACGGCCTGATATTTGGAAATCTCGCCTCTGATTGGCTAACAGCAACGTGACTCTACTGCTGACTCTGTTTGCTCTGCATAGATGATGTTTTTTCTCCACACATAACACAAACCTGAAGGAGTTCTGCTATATGGTGGAGTTGCTAACGCTAAAGGTTAGCTTCTACTAGCCGAGACGTTCTCTGCTGTTTCCTGGACGCCAAACCAACAACAGCCTTCCCCGTCGTGAGTCAAGATGGGCGAGTCCATGAATGTTAAATGACAGTGTGACGTAGATCTGTCAGGCTTTTCAAATCCTAGTTTCATCGTCTATTTTCTATTAGAAGCTAATGCAGGAGATCAGTGTAGGAGACTATTTTCATGTTCAGCCTGCTTGAAAAACTCAGAATGACCGATTTATAATAAAAAATAATCATTAAAAAATGGTTTTCTATGAAGTTGACCTTTAAAACATGAAGAAAGAAACAGCAAAACATAGATTTAAAAAGCCAGATGTTGCACCAAAAAACCCAAACATGACATAAATGAGCACTTTGTTGAATCTGTTTCGATCACCTGCTTCAGTGAAGCTGTTAATCCAGATGAGATATTTAAACCAGGCATGCGTCATCTTCATCTTAGTGCATGTGTCACCGGGGGTGTCACGCATTGTTTAATCTTGCAGAAAGCACATGGTTCTAGCACAGAAGCATGATTTAGCCTGATCATAACGTGTCGTAGTCCAGCCTGCCCTTCACTGAGCATGTTTTTGTCTCTTCCCCTCCTCACTTGTGTTTTTAGGACATAAAAAGAGAATCCAGATGATAATCCTTGTAATTTTTTATTATTTTGATGCTGCTGTTCCCTCTGAGGACCCTCTGCCTTCTCTGACTGACCCCGTCTTTTCATCACCCGGCTGTTGGAGCTCAGGCTGCCACGTGCTGCTGCTCTGAGCCATAATTCCTGCATGATGACACTTAGCACTTGGCCCATCTTACTAGTGGCGTTGCCTTATTTTCGTGCTGTCAGTTTGACTGGCTTTAGTGGGCTTAGAGTGCACGTTGTGACCTGAAATGACAGCAGCGTTCTTTAGTCTCACTGATATTGCAGAGCCTGTTCTGGTCACTGTGAAGTATTTTTATTGGTTTAATGACAACAAGTCACATTGATGTTAATCCAAATAGATTTCTATATAAAAACTCCCAAAATGTCACATTCTGCTCCGATGAGTAAAAAATCCTGTAAATATGGTCGTCGGTAATTTTATTTCTGTTTTCTGGTGTTTCACAGGTCTGATCATTGTTCCCAGCGCCGGGGTGGGCATCGTGCTGGGAGGCTACATCATCAAGAAGCTAAAGCTCGGGGCGAGGGAGTCGGCCAAGCTGGCCATGATCTGCAGCGGCGTGTCTCTGCTCTGCTTCTCCACGCTCTTCATCGTGGGCTGTGAGAGCATCAACCTGGGAGGCATCAACATACCTTACACCACGGGGTGAGGACTGATTAAAACACTCGGGTTTTTAAAAGGATAGATGGAAAACGTGTCCCTTTCAGATGGTGTGTGATAAACGGTGTGAATCATCTGGATGCTGTCACCGGTCCCATCACCCTCGTGTGAGAAAGATTAATTAGCAACACTCGCATCTGCTCTCGTTGTCCTGGTGAATCACTTTGGCACCTCTGTGAATCTGCTGCAGCTTACATACCATTATGCTATGTGTTACATGAACACACACACACACACACACACACACACACACACACACACACACACACACACACACACACACACACACACGAGAAAGCGTTATTGTGTTTCTGACCTTGGATGATGCCGAGTACCCGTTACACATTCATAACTGATGTTCTTCTTCCTGTTGGCTGAAAATAAGCACAGATTTACCACATTTCGCGTTTTAAAGCTTGTAAGTTAAATTAATGCCAACAAACTTGTTTTATCAGTATAAAAAAAGTGACGAAGAGATAAACCAACGATTGAACTGGGAACGGAATAAACAAACAAACTGGGGATGTTCCGATCACTTTTTTTTTTTGCTCCAGATCAAATTTCAAGTTACTTGATTTTGAGTATGTGCCGATACCGAGTCCCGACCCGATACTTTCAGAAAAGTATTAAAATAACAAAAAAAGAAATAATTTGTAGCAAATTTGGTCATTAGTCAGTAAATGATGCATCTCTATCGCACTCACTCACTCACTCACTCACTCACTCACTCACTCACTCACTCACTCACTCACTCACTCACTCACTCACTCACTCACTCACTCACTCACTCACTCACACACTCACTCACTCACTCACTCACTCACTCACTCACTCACTCACTCACTCACACACACACACACACACACACACACACACACACACACACACACACATGGTCAAGAGTAATCTCATTGGTGTAAACAGAGATAATCATTTGATGGTTCTTTTAAAAATGCTCATAAATGAAATGTCACACACACAGTTAGATGTTTTCATGGAAGAGGTCCGACTAGTGTTGTCTTAGCCCGTCTCTCTCTGTTCCGCCATCGCCGCGGGAAAACTTTGAACAAAAGAAAAATAAAAAACACGCTTCACTGCTTCTGGTTCAGACAAAACCAAAGTCCCGTTGAGCTTACAGGAACTGCCCCCTCACCCCCAAAACAGTGGAATTAAGCTTGACCTTCCGTGAACGCCAGCCAGCGAAGGATCAAGTTTTCCATCCAATTATATTTGAATAAAATCCCCATTTAGCTTCAGAGCTGAAAGTTCTTATGAGATTTGGATCTTGCTGACACAGCTTCACCGTGAATGTTCACCTCCACAGAAGTAATAATAAAGGTCTTCTTAACTAGCGCCCTCCCTGCACCCGTCCCCCCCTCTCTACCATCCACTCCTTTGTTCCCTCCTCTCCATGATTGATGTCAAGTTGTTGTTGTTGTTGTTGTTGTTAGCCTCGAGGGCAACATGCCGATTATCACTTGTAAGTCGCTTTGGACAAAAGCGTCTGCTAAAAACATAAACATAAACATTTTCCTGCTCCTCTGTGCTTCTGCAGGCCCACCCTGACCCTGACACATAGAAACCTGACCGGTAGTTGCAACGTAAACTGTGGCTGCAGGATCCATGAATACGCTCCGGTCTGCGGCTCTGACGGCATCACCTACTTTAACCCCTGCCTGGCTGGATGCAGCGCCGTCGGCAACGACAGCACCGGGGTAACCCGTCGGCTTCACTCATCGGTACAAAAGTTTCACCCTTTCTGACTGGACCTGAGAGTTTGCTTTTTGTTGAACCACAGGTCAGGAACTACACGGACTGCAGCTGCGTTCAGAGCAGACAGGTCATCACCCCCTCCTCCGGCGGTCAAGTCAACCAGCTCCAGCTCGTCATCGTCAAAACGTACCTGAACGAGAACGGCTTCGCCACATGGGGGAAGTGTGACCGCACCTGCAACACACTCATCCCTTTCCTCATCTTCCTCTTCATCGTTACGCTCATCACCGCGTGTGCTCAGCCCTCCGCCATCATCGTCACACTCAGGTGGGAGAACCGTTAGCCCAGTTAGTCCGAGTTTTGATGCAGATAATTAATCCAGTCCTCTTCCTCTGCAGGTCCGTTGATGAACAAGAGAGGCCTTTTGCTCTCGGGATGCAGTTTGTTTTGCTCCGAACTCTCGGTACGTTCCGGATCTCCAAAATCACAAGCTTATTTGATTTTAAACACCATTTATTCTGACTTATAACTGCAGATAAAGCCGGGATTCAGCTCCTTAGGTGAACTCCCGTGACCCTTTGTGTTGATACTAGTCATAGAAAAGCCTTCAGGGTGACGGAGCTCTGTCATAACACGCCTCCCATCAGCTTTGTACTGCTGTGGGAACATAAGGCTGCTCATCGTGTCCTTTAAACCCCTGCATGCAGCGAGGAAGTGTGTGTGTTCATGCAGACACAGCATTATGGAAGGTCTTCATGTGCAGAAATCACGACTTTCTGAAACATTTGTCCTGCAAGTCATTCTGAACCTCTAAAGTCAGTAAAACACTTCAGTTCCTGCAGAAAAACAACTTTGCTGATGAAAAAAATCTGCCCTGCCTCTTACTAAATGCTGCCACTTAGTGGTAGGAATAAGAAAAACACAAATTCTAATCATAATTCTGGACAAAGGTGAAACTGATATTTTGACTCTTAAATGAATAATTTTATAGCAGATTGAAGCATTTCTTTGTTTGTAACCAAGTCATAATTCATTCTTTAAACATTTTTACAAATTAGACCAGAAACCATCAGAAAACAATGCCGTGCAGGGGTTTGTTTACGTCACTAATCTCTGCCTTTGTGCTTCCTCAGCCTACATCCCGACGCCCATCTACTTCGGAGCCGTGATCGACACCACCTGCATGCTCTGGCAGCAGGACTGCGGCGTGCACGGCTCCTGCTGGGAGTACGACGTTACCTCGCTACGCTTCGTCTACTTCGGCCTGGCTGCCAGCCTCAAGTTCGTCGGCTTCGTCTTCATCTTCCTCACCTGGTACTCCATCAAGCACAAGGAGGCGCGGGCGGAGGAGCGCTGGCGCCAGCACCTCCCCCCGCTCGGCACAGTCAGCGAGCTAATTTGCCACACCGGGGGCCGCAAAAGCCACGCCCGCACCCGCTCCTGCCCCGTGTTCATCTTGCCTCGGCCTGACCCGCCCACCGCGCTGCTGCTCAACCCTGGCCGCAGCAGCTTTAGTTGCCCGGGCAACGCCCGTAAAGCAATAACTCCCCCCGTCTTGCTGCCGCATCACCACAGAGGCTCGGCCCATGTGTGAAGCCCCTCCCCTGGGTCGTTCATCGTGCCTTCCTGTTTGTGTTTCTGCACAGCGTCTGCTTCACACCAGGCTGAGACACAACGTGCGCCCGCCGTACCTAAAGGGCTTCACGGGAGCGGGAGTTTGGAAAGGCGTCGCTTTACTTGGAGCATATCTCCGAGCTGCAGCCGCGCTCCACCTCTCCGTCGAGATGATGTGGAACATCTGATGGTGCTACTGTAAACGGGAAGGGCATTAAAGTCTGTACAGACAGATGAGTCATCAACATGGTATCAAAAGCACAATGAACAAACCTGCACTATGCAAATTCCTGCATACAGCTCCTTCCTCCTCAGTACTCCCGCTGGATCCCACGCGTACCTCCTCCTCTGCACAAGCTCACGTTCATGTCTTGTTTTTTGTCCCAAACAGTGACCGGTTCACACGTAGACGAACGTAGGATTTTAAATTCTCTTCACAGTCCTCGTGTTCTTCTTAACAGTGCCTCTCTGGCAGTTTTCTGTCAGTCCAGAACACAACGCTAGCTGTCAGGGTTAACGCTCGCTACAGAAAAGCATCGACACAGACCCTGAGTTATAAACTCCGGCCTTTTGCAACGTAGCTCACAGCAGACATGTGGTACAATCGGTGTGCAAAGGATCTGTTATTTCACTTATTATTATTATTATTAAACCAAGTGGAAAACAGGAACTATTCCTGATGATGCGCTGAATCTACTGTAAATGCTAAAATGTGAAATAAGGTTTAAAAATGAGGTTTACTGTATTTATTTCTTAAGAAACATCTTCAGGCTATTAAATAAAAGAAAAAAATATCTTAGCTTATTAATTAAAGGACTCAGATGCGTGTCTAGATCTAAAACTTTTGCCAGTTTTTGAGTGTTTGGCGCCATCTGGTGGACAAAGAGTAGAAGGTAAATGGACTTAAATTCAGAGGAAAATTCTAATTAAACACATTTTTTATTTAACTTTGTGTGAAATAGTTTTTTTTTTTATTTTGTTGCCAGCAAAGTGTTGAAATATTTCGTTCTGATCATGCTGGTAAAGTCATATCAGCTCATTTCAAACCTCTAAACGCCTTTTCTTGTTTTTCTGACCGTGGGGTCAAAATTCTGACATTAAAATCAAACTTCTGAATAAATTTGGATTAATTTAGCAAATAAACAAGGAGTTTCAAATGCATTGAAAAGTGTTTGAATGTCGACGTGTCGAAGGTTAATCAAAGCACATGTTCATGATTGTGTAAATAATTAAAAGCAACTGAAACATATTATAGAGCTCACACCTAGCTAGAAGTGTATTTATGAACTAATCCAAGGCTTTGTAGGTAAAAATTAGACTTGAGCAGTATTATCTATGTGAAAAGGGCCAATATTATTTCCTGCTGGAAGGGAGTTGGGCTTTTATTACCAGAAATGTTTAAAGGGGACATATGGCTTCCTTTCTTAAAGGTGTGGAACTGTGAAAACATTTTTTGATTATTTCTGATTATGATAGATCACTTTGAGTTTTTAAAGCGGGCTGAACATGAAAATAGTCTCCTACACCTATCTCCCGCATTAGCTTCTGATAGAAAATAGACAGTGAATCTCTAGGTTTTGAAAAGCCTGACAGGTCTACGTCACACTGTCACTTAACATTCGTGGACTCACCCATCTTCCCTCATGACAGATAAGGATGTTGTTTAACGTCCGGGAAACAGCAGAGAACGTCTCTGCTAGTAGAAGCTAACCTTTAGCATTAGCACCTCCACCCCACAGCAGAACTCCTCCATGCATGTGTTGTAGAGATAAAACATCAATGTTGCAAGTCAGTGTTAGTCACGTTGCTGTTATCCAATCCAAGGCAAGATGTCCGATATTAGCAAGTAAGACTCCAAAATCTGCCATCTGAAGCTCAGCTTTGATGTGGCTCACTTCTATTTCCTGGAAATGGTGCACCTGTGTTATTTGCCCCCCAGAGTACAACTTACAAGGTATTAATTCCTATCAGAGACTACTGCAAACACACTGATTAAATGAGTGTTGCACACTTTTTAAGTTTAAATAGTTCTATGGTCAATAACAATGTTTGACAGTTATTTGGAAGGGCTTGGAGTAGAGCTGCTCTTCCAACAGCAGCTCATTCTTGCACATGAGAGGGGGTATATGCCAATTTCCCCTTTTGTGATGTCACAAATGGGGACTTTTTTTGAAACGGCTCGTCTTAGGCTCTGACATAAAAATAAATGTACTACTTTTTTCAAATTTGGGGTGTTTACAGAGGCAGCACAAAAGGTGAGTTTATGTCATGCTGCTGAAAACACCTGGTACAGACTCCTTAACTGTACTCTCTCTCTCTCTCCATATATATATATATATGTAGAAAGTATGAAGTTGAGCTTCATCTTTCTGCCCCTTTAACCCAACAGGTAGAGCTAAAAAATAAGCTGATCTTTTGCCACAAATGAGCAAATTGAGTTAAAGAATCAGGTAACAGGTGAGAGTGTTTGCACAGTTCCTCTCCTTCCTGTTCACCGTGTCTGGACTCCCAAGGGTTGCTTCAATACATCTCAGTTTGTTCCTCAAGAGCAGAAATCCAACTCATATTTGTGAACACTTGGTTTACAAATGCGTTGAATACTTGATATTTGTCATTAAAACTGGGAAAAAAAACACTTGTTTGAGTTTTGTTTTTAAATACAAAGAAGTATTTTAGGACAAAGTTTGAAACACGTAGCATGTTGGCTTTATTGAGACAGTTTGAAGAGGAAAATGTTTTTTTTTTGGAACAAAAATAAAGCTGCAGATAATTTTACAAACCGTACACTTATGACAAGTTGCACTCTAAATTATTCAAGTCTTACATCATCAAAAAAAAAACATTTAGGTTTTGTTTTTTTATCGGTCATTGAAACTTCAAAATAAAAGCATGTAAAGTGTGATGAATAGAAAAACATTATTTTCATGTTTGTGGCAGCTGTGATTGTCTTGACCATGAAAAAATAACTTTCAAAATCATCTTGTTGCACAAAAGCTGTAAAACTTTGATTTGTAGAAAACAGTGGAAATGTCCGTAAGTGCCTTTGGGATCCGTGTCGTTTCGGGTTCAAACACCTCACCATTCAGCTGTTGATGGTTTCACCACTCACTGTTTCACATAAAAAAATATTAAATATTAAAACACTCAATGTCTCTATACGGAAATAATCACCTTTAATACGAGCTCAGCTGCTTGAAGGCCTTTTTCATATTTATTTATTTATATACAGCAGAGGAAAAAACGCTTGTTTACATTTATTAGTAATGTTTACCAATAAATGCAGGCACCAGTAACAAAAATAAACATGTTTAATAATCGTACAGCTCTGACTGACTGAGGTGGCCTTTAGCTCCTGCAGAGCTCGTCCCTTTATCAGTGTCTGTGTCACTATGGCAGCCGGGAGCTTTCTGGCTGATTGGCCAGAGCGCGAGTCTTCCTCAGAGGGTCTGATTGGTGAGTAGGGAGCCACTGCCCTCGTATTCCACGCTGAGGGGCGGCAACGGCTGAGGGAGGGTGTTCAGCGTCACTCCCATCGTCGGGATGGAGGTGGTGGCTGTCACCTTTGGCCTCAGAGTCTGTGGGGAGAAAGGGATGAAGCCTTGGGCCTGGAAAATGTCCTCCTCTGGACCTTTGGCCCCGACGTGGCCGGGTTCTAACTGGGCCTGCAGGCTGGCGTGAGCACGCATGAGGCTGTCGTGTTGCGTCTCTAGCTCCGTCATTCCGTTCCCGCTAAACATTTCCCTTTCCACCTCCTCCAGCTGCCACGCCCGCGCGTCGCTCCCGAAGACGGCCTCGTCTCCGCCGCGCAGAACAGACCTTCCACTGGCGGCGCTCTCGGGGAGGTCGTTCGTGACAGATTCCAGTTTCTTTTCCAGTGTGGGTGGTGCTGATGGCCTGCTGGGGGCGGGGGTGGCGAGGCGGGTCTCTGCGGACAGGCCCGGCCAGACGTCGCTGCTGGACGCCAGCCCTTCTCCGCTGCCCTCTTCAGGGCTCCCACCCCCGGCCCCAGAGCCCAGCTCTGGCAGGGTGGAGTCATCAAGCATTTGGGTTCGGTTCAATTGGTTTAAAATGAGTCTCAGTGCAAACATTTGATCAACGTCCTTCTGGAAGTTGGCCCAGTTGTCTGGGCAGGGGCTGTAGTCAGGCCTACACTCATATAGGCTTTCGTTTATGCTGTACAAGTCCTCCAGCGCCTGCCAGTTCACCTCCTCATCGGTCAGGTTGGGCAGCTTAACCCTGTCGTCCCTCCCATACTGGCTGTATGCTGCCAAAGAGAGAGAGAGACAGAAAAACATGAGGGACGTGAAGGAGACAGAACAAGGGTCTCTTCATGCAGCTGTGCCCAGCGTCTGGTTCTGACTACGGCAGCCAGCTGAACCGAGTCTGTAGCCCCAAGCAACACACACACACACACACACCACTGAGTTAACACTCACACTGAGCTCAAGCCACCGCATATTCAGTAGATAATGGAATAGTTAATATCATCAAATTAAAAAATAAATCCCAGGTAACCTGGAATATAACAAGCAAAGGAATAAAAATGCTTAGAAAATGAAGAAAACAAGGTTGTAGCTGATTGGTGCGTCCCCAAGGAACAAAGAACCAAAAACGCTATTAGGGGAAGAAATAAAGAAAATCTGCAGCAAAAGCAGAAATAATAATAATGATGATAAAAAGGCTTAGTTGGAAATCTGCAAGTGAAACAGAACCGTGTGCATCAGTGCCTTTAGGATCCCTGTCCTCATGTGACCCTGTAGCTAAGTGCAGGTGATGGGACAGGTGCTGAGGGACTCACGGGAAAGAGAGGCCGGGTCTCCTCTTTGACCACTTTCCATGCTGCTGCCACCTGGTAAGCAGGTGCCAGAGAGGTCAAAAGTTCAGAGTTAAGCAGGGTGGACAGAGACACGCCTCTACCACTAGAAGATTGTTAGGGGTGAATATGAGAGCTACTCTGGGATGTTGGGTCAAAATGAGATGAGAGATGTTTGCTTCTGGACACGGCTGGAATTACACGACGGGTGAGAGGAAGTCGTTTTGCATTTTGGGAGCTGGATTTGTAAAAAGTTGGGAGAGACGATCAATAATCCTCTCCTATCTAGTAAATGTATCAAAATACACGCTGGTGAGCTTTTACACAGAAACAGACTTTAAAATGGGTGAAATGTCCCTTTAAAGAGCTCATTTTGCTTATGTATTATTCCCCAAAGTGCCAAACTATTCCTTTAACCTTTAATGAAATCTGGGAAATGATGTAGAATCATGCGTTTCCACTCGTGTGCACTCCTATCAGAACCTTTGGAATATTTGTTTTAAAGGTGTGGAACACTTGTTTCAACATTTGCAGTGGTCTCAGGTAAAAAAAACAAACAAAAAAAACCACTGGTGGAACTAGAAGTGAGCCACATCACAGCTGAGCTTCTGACATCAGGTTTTAGGGTCTTAATTCCTGACATTTGGACATCTCGCAATGGATTGGAAAACAGCAACGCGACTCTACCTCTGACTTGCAACGTGGATGTTTCATCTCCACAAATGACACAAGCCTGGAGGAGTTCTGCTGTGTGGTGAAGTTGCTAATGCTAATGGTTATCTTTTCCCGGCTCCGGACAGAGAATTCTGCTGTTGTGTCCTTGGGCAAGACACTTGACCCACCTTGCCTGCTGGTGGTGGTCGGAGGGACCGGTGGCGCCTGTGCTCGGCAGCCTCGCCTCTGTCAGTGCGCCCCAGGGCAGCTGTGGCTACATCGTAGCTCATCCCCACCAGCGTGTGAATGTGTGAGTGAATGGATGAATGATACACTGTGGTGTAAAGAGCTTTGGAGTCCTTACTCTGAGAGGCGCTATACAAGTGCGGGTCATTTATCGTTCATTATCATTTAACGTCTGCTGCTCTTTGCTGGACGTTAAAAAACAACATTTCACTGTATTTTGTATTAGAAGCTAGGCGCTGGACACCATGTTCGTGTTCAGCCTGCTTGAAAACCTCAGAGTGACCGATAATCAGAAATAATATTTTAAATATGGTTTTTCAGTGTTCCACACCTCTATTAGTATATAATATCTGATGATATGTGGTACTTGAAAGCAAAGATGCAAAATAAAAAAATAAATGAAGTGAATGAGTCCAAATGGCTGCTGAGTCACATTGCACAGCAGGTAAAGGTGAAGAAAGAAAAAAATGTAAACCAAAAGAAGCCCTGCTACGTTGTGTTAGCATGTTCCCAGCATGCAGCCACAGAGGAAGCGTCCATGGATGGATGGATTAGTGGGAATGAGACAATTTGGCCCATGCAGGTGTTAAAGAAATAAAAAAAAAGCTGCTGACTGAAGAGGAACAAAGCAACAAAACTTGGCGGATACCTGTGTGGCTCATAGCTTCCTCCATCTTTACCTCCTGATCAGACAAAAATAAAAGCAATCGATTGTTAATGCTTTGATTCAAAGGGATAAGGAGTGGGGGCAGGTCAGTCACACGGAGGTTTGTCTTCATGCACTGCTGCTACTCACTATGGAGGAGAGGAATGGAACGGACATTTGGATATGAAAGGAAGAAAACAGGAGAAGTGATTTGGAATCAAACTGGAAAGTTCCCCCTTCAAGGCAAACAGGTTATTTAAGGATTTCTCACACGGCATTCTGTCTCCTCTGACGTAAAACACCCTTACGTGTAACCACAGCAACAGTTTCTCCGGTTCAAAGAGCCAGTGAAAGGATTTTAGGCTGTTTTGGAGCACGTGTTGGCGTGTTCATGACAGATCCAAACACGCCAAGACTTAAACATGAGTGTGATCTGGCTGCTCATGCGCTCCGCTCATGCATCTCAGACTGGCAATTGCTGAAATGTTATTCTTGGGTCAAAGAGCACAGCCAGGTCAGGGCAAACACACCCACTGAAGCCTTACGTCATTAAACCACCTCCATCACAGACATGACACATGACTCAAAGGATGAAAAAAATAGTGATGACAGGCTTAAACTGATATTTAGGCTTGGTGACTCGTGGGGGGGCGGAGGGCCGTAACAGACTTTTTATTTGGCACAAGGCCAATGGAAATCAGGAAGAAAATTCCCACACAGAAAAAGATCCAGGGCTGAAACAGTGATCTTTGTGTGTGTGTGTGTGTGTGTGTGTGTGTGTATGCGAGTGTGTTATAGTGAACAAAATCTCAGGAAACATTCAGAGACCTCGGCCTGAAGTGTACATCATTCCTAAACACATGCAGCATGCAGGGATGTTAAGAAACACACAATTCCAAGTGAAACACTCTTTTTACATAAGAAATATCGGACTCTTTGAACAGAATGCGCTTCAGTCATTTGAGGGGAAAAAACAGAGTTAGAGAGGATGGTTCTCACCTGCATCCAGGCCTTTAGGACGAGGGTTGCACTGCTTGTGACCCTGGCAGCTCCTCATTTCCATCAGCTGAACATGGAGTGAGTTCAGAACATCACGATCCACGGCAAACACTGCATTGGTCAGCTGTAAAATTAACACAGCCACACACACAAACACATATCTTGAGCTAGGTAGCACACACAATAACTAGACAAGTGTTTAATACCAAAGACGAATACAAAACAAAACGAGAACCTTCTGTTGAGTTCGAATCGTCTCCCTGTATCACGATTTATCATATCTCACCCATCCATCCATCCATCCACCCATTTTCATCCGCTTATCCGGAGTCGGGTCGCGGGGGCAGCAGCCTAAGTCGAGAGGCCCAGACTTCCCTCTCCCCAGCCACTTGGGCCAGCTCCTCCGGGGGAATCCCAAGGCGTTCCCTGGCCAGGTGAGAGACGTAGTCCCTCCACCGTGTCCTGGGTCTACCTTTAGGTCTCCTCCTGGTTGGACGTGTCCAGAAAACCTCACGAGGGAGGCGTCCAGGAGGCATCCTGACCAGATGCCCGAGCCACCTCAACTGGCTACTCTCGATGTGGAGGAGCAGCGGGTCTACTCCGAGCCCCTCCCGAATGGCCGAGCTTCTCACCCTATCTCTAAGGGAGAGCCCAGCCACTCTTTGGAGAAAACTCATTTAGGCCGCTTGTATCCGTGATCTCGTTCTTTCGGTCACTACCCAAAGCTCATGACCATAGGTGAGGGTAGGAACGTAGATCGACAGGTAAATTGAGAGCTTCGCCTTCTGACTCTGCTCTCTTTTCACCACAACAGACCGGTACAATGCCCGCATCGCTGCAGACGCAGCACCAATCTGCCTATCGATCTCACGCTCCAGCTTTCCCTCACTCGTGAACAAGACCCCGAGATACTTAAACTCCTCCACTTGGGGCAGGACCTCATCCCTGACCCGGAGAAGGCATTCTACCCTTTTCCGAATCAAGACCATGGTCTCAGATTTAAATGGACCATGTCTCACCTGTATGGAGTTATATCACATTGTGTCCCCTGTATTGTGATATATGTTGTATTATATCCAGTTTCAGAATTTATTGAATTGTCTACGCGTTTTGCGATATATATCGTACTTCCTCCCCTGTATTGCGATATATATTGGATCGTGCCGTGTCCCCTGTATTGTGATATTGAATATAATAGAATTCAACTTTGTCATTGCACATGTCACAAGTACAAAGCAATGAAATATAGTGCATCGTCTCCCCGTATTGTGATATATCGCGTATCGTCTCCCCGTATTGTGATATATCTCGTATCGTCTCCCCGTATTGTGATATATCGCGTATCATCTCCCCGTATTGTGATATATCTCGTATCGTCTCCCCGTATTGTGATATATCGCGTATCATCTCCCCGTATTGTGATATATCTCGTATCGTCTCCCCGTATTGTGATATATCTCGTATCGTCTCCCCGTATTGTGATATATCGCGTATCGTCTCCCCGTATTGTGATATATCGCGTATCGTCTCCCCGTATTGTGATATATCTCGTATCGTCTCCCCGTATTGTGATATATCTCGTATCGTCTCCCCGTATTGTGATATATCTCGTATCGTCTCCCCGTATTGTGATATATCTCGTATCGTCTCCCCGTATTGTGATATATCTCGTATCGTCTCCCCGTATTGAGATATATCGTATTGTCTCCCAGCATCACATTATATTGTGTCATCTCTCCTGTATTGCAATGTATATCCTATCTCTGGAATCTTTTGAATACACCTGGTATACCCAATACCCACCTGGTAGGGGTCACTGTTGAGGTCGAAGTATTCCAGGAAGCCACTAGAAAACTCGCAAAAAAGCGTGTTGTGGGTCTCATTGATGGTTCTCAGGCACCAGTAGGTATTATTGTTGGAGCTGGTGCATGCACAGAATCCACCCACTACAAAAATCAGACATTTTCTTTGGAGGCTATTCACTTAAATGCATACAAGATGTGAAATCAATTGCTCGAGAAGCAGTGATACACAGGAGTTCCACGTGTCACTGAGAAGCTCGAGGTGATTCTACGCACGTGTCCAGAAGGGAGCGGTCTGCCAGTGGTCGTTGTTATGGGTGAAACAGGTGAGGCCCGGCAGGCTGCAATCGTCTCCTTTCCTATGACGCTTCTTCTCCTTCCTTTCTTTCTTCCTCCTGCGAATCTCATTGTACAGCTGCGCCTTCCCATCAGTTTCATGCACGGCCTCCCTGTTACACAGAAGCACGACAGGATTTCTCATCTTGTGATGAACACATGACCACGCCCTCTCTTGTGCAGGAAACGGTCTTATTAGATTCAGAAGGGACTTTCTGCCCGTTTGCTTTCACGTTTAAAATCTTCCATTAACTTGTTTTCTTTTCGATGACATCCTAGCCACCATCCTTTCTTCCCTCCTGCCTTAACAAACAGCAGACACGGCTGAAAAGCAGCTGTTTTGTGTTGGCGTGACTGTGTTCCCAGCGTTTCCTTGTGCAAGCCGATCACTGCTTTTGAAGGACTCGCCGACTTCCCCCTCGGTTCAATTGTTCCATTTTTCCATGCGACTCGATCACTTCCAGGCACACACAAAACGGATCCACCGCCAAACATCTGCTTTGCCATTTAAACTCCATTTGAGAAGCAAAACATTCAATAAAAGTTATAGCGTGCACGCTTCTTCGGAAACTTGGGAGTGTAACAACACATCACGCCACACACACGTTCGATCCTTAGGTCATCCGCCATGTACGAAAACAACCGTTGCCGCTTGCCATGCTGGGGTCATAACTAACCAGTTCAAACACAGTTAACGGCACAAAATCTGAGACAATGAAAGAGAAACGTACTTAAACGGATGCAGCTGATCGTTCCTGCTCTTCAGTCTCTCTTCCTTGTTTCTCAGTCCTTTGCCATAATAGCTGGTTTTATACGAGCAGGAACATAGAAAGTATGGTTGTTTATTCCAACAGAGTTTGACATTAATAAACTATAAACTAGAAATGATCAAACCTCTTTCCACAGTCGCACTCATCCGGTCGTGTTCTCTTCAGGTGACCTTTGACCTCGCGGAGATTCTTGATTTTGTCAAGAAGAAGTTCGATCTAATGGGAAAAAAACACCAAAACCAGAGGTGTTAATTATTCGCTGCCTTTCATGGTAAATCACCTTCTTTATGAACTAGCTCACCTCCTGGTCTATGTAGGTCTTATGGGTTTTCCACGCTCTGGAGGACTCGTAGATTTCTCTTTCACAGTGGACGCTGTCATTAGTCAAGATATAACATCTAGAACAGAATCACACATTTCATATTAGGATTTATTTTTTATCTTCATTCCTTTTTAACCATCTATGTTCATTTGTTTAATGATTTTTTTTCTGTTTTCATGATCTGTTTAATAACCTTTTACTTTTTTATGATTTTTCTTTGTTTACAGATCTTTTTCATTTCTAATTATTTTTTAATTGATCTGTTTTGTTTTAAACGATGTTATTAATTTGTATAATGATCCTTTTACTTTTTAATGAATTTTCGTACTTTATTGATCTTTTTCATTTAATGACCTTTATTCATTTGTTTAATGATCTTTTTATTTTTTTAATGATTTTTCATTTGTTTAATGATTTTTTTGTTTTAAATGATCTTTATTCATTTGTTTGTAGTCTTTGTATTTTTTCTTGTACTAATTTTGTTTGAATTTTTGATGCTATTTTCTTTCTGAAGCACTTTGTGATTTTTTTCTGTAATACGAGCAATCTAAAGAAACTTTACTTATTTAAAAAATGCACCTCACGCCTTGTACACACTGAACATTGAACGGATGCTTCTACATAATTAAAAATCATTGCATCAGTGATTCCTTACTTGTGGGTAACTTTCAGAGAGTTGGGGTATCCCACAGCGTTGGTATCATCTGCCAGCATCTCCTCTGAACCGTCATCAGTGCCCAGGTCAAACTCGGGGTCCTCCTGGTTATGGTGGCGCTTTGAGATGATGCGTCGGCGTATGCCTGACTGGTCATCAGCCTGCAGGTCGATGTCATATATCTGACCCTCAAACTCAACAGACAGTGATCGGGCGGGTCGTGTGTGGACAAACCGAGGACGGTAACCTGTCACAGGATAAATGTCAAAAACAATAATCAGAATGTTTTGGCAGTGGGTGATAAAAATTTAAAGCTTAGCTTTGAATACAAAACATAATAAAAAAAGAAAAATAACATCCTCAAAAAAACTCAGTATCAGTTTGAGTCGCATCTGGATCTCAGCTACACTTTATTCAGTCACCACTAGAGGGCACCAAACCATTTTAAGACAACTGGCATGAATGCACATTAATACGTAACCATCATACCTGTTGCATGATGGAGTTTTTTTGTCTTTCTTCAAACATCTGACTCCTTTCAAAGCGTAAATAACTGATTAAATGAAAACTTTTGCAGCCGTTTTCTTCCAGCAGCATTAAATCAAAAGATAATGGAAGAAGTGTGTTTTTAAAGAGCTGTACATGTAGTTGTGTGTTGTTTAATGATTCTGAATGAACAGGTGGAGATTTACTCACGTTGGTTTGGTGAGGAGAATCGCCGATGGGAGCGCCGGTCAGTCCTGGATGGTTTGTAAAGCATCTCCTCGCAGTCGCAGATCTTTTCTCTGTTGTCATGGCTACTGCGGGGCTTCGCGCTCCGGGCTCTCTGCCTGGAGCTGTCTTTTGACCCCCCTTTACACTTCTGTAGCCTCCACTTCCCTGAGATCTCCTCCACACAGTGCCATTTCTGTGCGGCAAAGCCAAAACAGGAAAAAGGAAAACTGCGTCATAAATGGATCTCTATGGTTAGAGCTCGTAATAATGGTGGGAAAGGACGACCCCAAAAGCATCAACCAAGATAAACAGAAACCACCACGTGAGACGAACTGGGTTTGTCTGGTGTCTGTAAAACATACTCCCACAGTGGGCATGTCTGCGCTAAGCGTGTAAACCGCTCACATTTCTACATCAGCTGCATCTTTTTTAACTGCCGTTCCAATGGGAAACAGCAAGGAAGAACAGCCTTTAAAGGGCTAATTGCTGTGAGTCCTGCTGCTGGTTGGCTCCCTGGACAAAACCAAATACACACATCTGTGGAGCGTATTGGGGAGGATCCTGTTAAGTGTGGGAACGAGGGCCCAAACAAAGAGGAGTAAAGCAGATCGGGTTCTTCTGGAGGAGCTTACAGAACCAGCAGACCATTGATGCCAGACATAGGGACGCAACAATGCCACTTTTTCCCAAACCAATGTGATACCGATACTTGGATCTGAATACTCGCCGATACCGATTGCCGATACCTATACTTCCACCACACAGAAAAATGCAATGATTTGGAATACAGATTTTATTTTCTTCTCTGCTTTCAACAGGAAAAGACTGTGAGGTAGATAAAAAGTTAAATATATGAACAGAAATCATCACAAAACTAAAATATTAGGTGAACAGAAATGACAAGTTACAGTAAAGCCACTTTCAAGCAACTGCATTGGTTGGTGCATCGCTAGTCAGACAAGAGGCAAAGGAGAAGTGCGTACTGTTGCAGAAGGATGAAAACAATCCTACTTTTGTTGTTAGCCTAGAAATCTAGACAAACCGTAGAAGTAGCAAACGATTTTGCTCTGCGGGTAGGTCAAGTGATGTTCCATTGTAGTCTCAGCACGTCTACCATTGGCTCCGCTTAAATTTAGGCCGGGCCAATCACAGCGCTTTACGTTTGTAGAGGGACGATGGACAAGCTTAGAAAAATAACGGCAGACATTTTTTTGTTATGATGACAGCAGAGTTGGGATGGAGAGAAACTACAAAGATGTTGAAGGACATCACTCGTTTGAAACGGCTTTGGCATCAACTCTAGACGATGTAGATTTGGAGTGTTTCTCAATAGCAAGGCGCCTGGCCTCGCAAGGCGATGTCTTGCTAGGCCAGGCGCCTTGCTTACAAGGACACTGTCCTTCCTTGGTCAAAGAAAACGGTTAAATGGAACAGACTTGCATCACGACTTCTGCGGCGGTCATGTAACGTGACACGGGCGATAATGTTATATTTTATATGTGGAAGTTTCAACATAAATATATAACGAGCCTTTTATTTTTTTAATTGTGTACATATTAGTTAAATATGTAATTGAGATCCTACCCGCTAGCCACCGAAGCTGCAACTACTAGCATCTAACCAACCATAGCTAACTTCTTTGGATCTAAAAAAAAGCATTTCAGATATCAGCCCGATAGCTACAATTAATTGACTTACTTTTAAACTTGACATTTGCCCCGGAAGTAGCTGCCGGCTTCTGATCCGCCATCCTTTTGAAAATACAGCGGTGTATTCTGGGTAATTTTTGACCAAGGTTAGGCTACAAGACACCTCTCGTGTATCCTTGCTCCGCTAGCTAAACGGCTAACAAACTGAGAACACACGCCTCGGTAGAACATGAACATTGGAACACGTCTTGGTGGTTCCAGATGACGTATCTCCTAGGCAACCAGGGCGGGGCCAAGACATCAAGGCAAGGTTCCTTGGCATTGAGAAACACCATGGGACTTTTTCCTTAAGTCGAGCAGACAGGTACTTCTTCTTCCTTGACGGTGTGTGTTGACTCATTTCCATTGCTATGAATATGTCACCTTGTTCATTGCTCTGATTGGTCCTCACGCTGTCCAGTTGGGAGCAAAGACAGTTTAAAAGACAACCTTAGATTTCGCCCCTATGACTGATCTCCGTGGACAGACTTCATATTCCCACATATGTGATGGCTTGCAGGTCTACTTTATTGGCTCTACTGCAAACGAAGCGTGCACTCGAGCATCACGACAGCAACCAAACAATAAAATAGTGAGAAACAAAGAGAGGGAGATGATTGACTGGATGAGAATTTGGCTTCCAACTGTTTCCTGATTTGTTTTGTTGGAAGTAAAAGTTCTCCCATTCTGCACGCTCCACACACACTCCTGAACTCAACCAAAAGCTCGCTCTGTCTCTGCCTTTAATAAGTGATTGCTACTTGCACACATTTATGTGGTCATAAACTGGATCTGGACTGAATTAGGTCCGACCCGTAGAAACTCTGCTCGTCATTAAGCACTACCTGAAATTTGTAACAATTTGTAGAAGTGTGGCCTGTCTGCGCCGAGGCCACGTTCAGAACCATCTGGCTGCTGTTCTGCCAGATAATTAACGGGCAGACATGAAAAGAAAACTCACCCACAAATTAATGGACCAAAAAAATAAATAAATAAAAACTGCAACAACCCAACTGATGTATTTGGGAGTGGCTAGAGGCTCTGCAGGCATCATGGAAAGCTTTTTATCTAGCAGATACCAGAAGATGTTCAGGAAACATGCTCTTCTGGACTTACCTGTCCCGGTTGCTCGCATGCCGTCTGGAATTCAGCCTGCTGGCACGTCGCTTTGACCATCTTGTGTTTGGGAAGGCTGTTGGTGTGTTGAGTGCTCATGGAGTCGTCCTTCTTTCTCAGGATCTTACTACGAGACCAAACACTGCATCAGTCAAAAGGTTGATTTAAGTGGGTTGCATGTGTGATGTCATGATGTTAATGTGCTTTAGAATCTAAAAGTGGAGCTCAACTCTTCCTCTTTCATGGCTGTTTGACATCAGTTTTCAATAAAGTTCAGATTCAGCCCTCCTTAGAGCAGACCAGTGCTATTTTTATTTTGTTTTGGACATGCCAACCTCCCTGTCATTTCCTTTTTTTCCCAACTTTCTGCCAGCATGTCCAAGCTACTCCACAACTGGTGCCAGGAGGTTCATCCTTGTCTGAAACTTTGCAGCTCTCAGAGGAGAAACCATACTGAGATGATGGGGTTCTACAACAACACGGTTGGTCATGGCTTCCTTCCAGTCTGTGAGGTAGTACTGTGAGGTCATGTGAGGATAATAAACCACAGTGAGAGAGCTGCATGTGCATGAGCGAGGTCAGAGGGAGGCTAATCCAAGCATTTAGCTCCGCGTGTTGCCGTGGACAGCTTTTACAAACTGTGCAGGCTATGGAGGAACGTCTTCAAAGAGCTACAGAGAGAAGGTCACACTCTTGTCATCTTTATAGGGAGGTTCACGCACAAACACACGCTCCACACCAGCAGGGATCTACTCAGATCTCGCTAGCGATTGAGAAAATGTGCAGAGAGGAGATGAGAGGCCCGGGGCTGCAATTAAAACAAGATTCAAAGGTTTGCATGGAATTGATAGAGGAGAAAACAGTAGCTGTAAGGGAATATGTGACAAACTATAGTAAACCAGATTGTTCTGCGAGCCGCCAGCAAGATCCAACTTCAACCTGATTGGCTGGACTTGTTTCATAGTCGGCTGGATCCTGTAAAGACAGGCTGGATGGGATTCTGTTTCTCCTCTAAATGCCACACGTCTGTTAGACACTGCAGAGAGGTTAAATGAAGAACTTACGGGGGTTTGTGTGACTAAACATACGCAGTATCAGATGGAGGTAAAGAAACAGGACTCAGGGAATCGGGGAAGTGTTTGCAGCTGTGCGATTGCCAGTGTCATGTCCTGTGGTTGGATTAAACGTGAGATTTCTAGTCATTCTTCAGGTAACATCATCCCGAGTCTGGAAAGCTTTTGTTTGTTTTGCGTAGGTCTACTTGGCGACGCTCCTGAAACGCATCTAGAGTTAAATAGAGCATCATGTGCTTCAACCCCTACAAGGACTTCGGAGAAAACAAAGAGTGGGCTTGTTTTGATTGTAAACGGTTCAATGACCTGTACACATGTCATCGCCCTTTGCGTGAACTGTCATTATCCAGGAAAGGCTTTATCAACAAACGTAGAAAAATTTGTTTCCGTTCAAACAGACTGAGGTCAGGAATGGTCTGCTAAATAACAAATAAGAGAAAAGGACTGGGAATCGCTCAAACAGACTGTCAGGTTTACGTGAGACACGAGGCTCGACGACACGGACGTGTCTGTGGTGTGGCTCACCCTCGCTCCACCAGGAATGTGTCTCTCCAGACTTTGGGTTTCCGGTTGGGCTTAAATCTGAGGAAACAAAACGGACAAAGTTTACAGGATTCTATCCGTTAGCATGTCTAGCACAAAGCTAACACTGCAGGTCCATGAGAACGGCACCGCTGGAAGCATTTAAGTCCAGTTTTAGCAACAATACATCCTTTTTATTCACGTTTTATCATTTCAGGAGAGCGTGTTTGAGGAGAAACGTGTGACTCAAAGCCAAAAATCTCACAGTCGAGGAAAAATCCACCAAAACCAGTTTCCAGCTCAGCTAGAGCAAACACCTAGATTGTGGAACTGTGCATGCACGTAGTAAACTACCAGTTAGGACAACTGTTGCACTTGTTGTTGTAAATATCCGTTACAGATGATGGACCCATACCTATTGCCAGTCCGATCCTGTTCCAACAGCTTGAGGATCGACTTTCCATCCATGTCTGGAGGAGTGTCCAGACCAGCAATATGGAGAATGGTGGGCGCTAGATCGATGTTCAGCACCACATGAGGGTTTCTGAAAAATGCATGCACCATTTTAGTTACAGTAAAAGTGAGAAAAATAAATTCACCTGAAAAACAAATACATAAATGCTTGAGTGTTTAAATGATAACATTTTAGTAGCTACTCACACAGCCCCTGGCTCCACATTCGGCCCTCTTAGGAAGAACGGTACTCTGATGTCAAAATCATACGGCATTGATTTCCCCTTGACTAACCCAAACTGGCCAATGTGGTAGCCGTGGTCAGCTGTGTAAATGATGTAGGTGTTGTCCAACTCTCCTGTTTCCTCCAGCATCTCGTAAACCTGCATTAAGAAACAAATGGCAAAAGCTCGAGTTAAGGAATTTGTTAAGAATTAAAGTGGGCACACACTCATTTTATTAAACTAGCTGTGGTCTCTAGTGTATAGCAATTCCTTGTGAGTCATTTACTGTGGAAAAAAAGCTCTGGTGCGCCTGTTTCAGGAAGAAGTTGGACAGAGAAGTGGAGAAGCAGAAAATGGCAGGATTCAGATATTTTCGTTGATATTCATGATACGCAAACATTGGGGCAGCAGTAGCTCAACAGGTTGAGCGGGTTGTCCAGTAATCGGAAGGTTGCAGGTTCGATCCCGGCTCTGGACAGAGAATTCTGCTGTTGTGTCCTTGGGCAAGACACTTAACCCACCTTGCCTGCTGGTGGTGGTCGGAGGGTCCGGTGGCGCCTGTGCTCGGCAGCCTCGCCTCTGTCAGTGCGCCCCAGGGCAGCTGTGGCTACATCGTAGCTCATCACCACCAGTGTGTGAATGTGTGTGTGAATGGATGAATGATACACCGTAGTGTAAAGCACTTTGGAGTCCTTACTCTGAGAGGAGCTATACAAGTGCGGGTCATTTATCATTATCATCTCTCCTCTGATTGGCTAACAGAAACACAACTCTTCCACTGCCTCTGTTCTGTCTTCTTTCTTGGGTTGAATGAATGCAACATTGTTGTTTTGTCTCCACAAATAACACAAGACTGAACATACTCCACCATGTTGTAAAGATGCTAATGCTAAAGGTTAGCTTACAAGTCTCTTTCCTAGCTGCAGAATCAACACAGTTCTCTGCGGTCGCAATCTGGGTGAGCTCATGAATGCAAATTTTACAGTGTGACGTGGATCTGTCTGGTTATTTTGACCCGAGCATTTCCCAGTTTATTTTCTTTCGGTAGCTGATGCAGACCGTGGGGTTGAAGACTATTTTTTGCATATTGTAATAAAAACAAGTATTTTACATTTCCCAGTTTATGTTTATGTATTTAGCAGACGCTTTTGTCCAAAGCGACTTACAAGTGAAGGTTCTCTCTAAAGTAAAACCGCATTAATGATTTTGCAAACCTTTTGGACAGAGTCGTCGACGGACATCAGCGTCTGCAGCCGTTTCCGATGCAGAAAGTTGGTGAACTCCATGTGGATTGGTTTCATGGGGCCCGTATACTGCATGATCCAATGTTTGTCCATATTTGGGGCATAGTTGTAGCTGGGGGTTCTAAAAGTGGAGAAACATAAAAAAAAAAAGTATTTGGGATTGACAGAACTTACATTTCAACTCTGCACATAATCTCACATGTAAATATGAAAAACCTTGTCAGCATGTGACATGTCAGAGTACATAACTGCTACAAGACCATGTTAAAAATGCCAAAAAGCACCTGTCCGCTACTTTTTACAAACTCCTGCACACAGCAGGTGCCACAGTTGTTCCCTGTGTTGGAAACACACTGATCGGCACCCTGTTTGTTGACAGAAACGTCTTAATACTTTTCAGCCAACACCTTCGCTGTTTTTCCAACACCCTCTCCTCGACCGTCTCTCCTCTCCACACAGAGACGCGAGTCTCCTCGCGCGACGGCGCTCCTGGCACACACGAGAAGTCTGAGGGCTGGCACGCGCTTATGAAAATAATAAGCCACACAGTCAAGCTTGCAATAACCTCTGGACCCAAAACTCAATAAGTCACGGTCATTTAAGAGAGGGAGGATAACGAGAGGATAAACAGCAAGAGCAAGAGGGACTGTAAGTAAATACTCTGGGATTAAACAGATGAAGGCAAAAACAGATACCATTAAGTCACTGATCAAAACTTTCATATGTAATGAAGACCTTCCATGAGAGCCCCCTTCTGTCCTCATCCCCTCAGGCCTGCTTTGTGAGGAAGGTGAACTCTTCACCCACTTAGCAGGCGGTATAATAAGCCCCACAAAGAGACCTGTCTCTGGGCAATGGGCCACCAAGCCATGAGGCTCTGAGCACCAGGGAACCAGGAATGCAGAGGTCAGAGGACTGAAGTGGGTCCGTTGGGAGAGGTCCCACCTGCCAAGTGGTGTGTGTAGGTCTGTGTCCATGCATCACAGAATGCCTCCCCGTGACTGTAAATAAAATCCTTCCACAGATCCATCACGCGTGAAGATTAGTGCCTTTCCCTTTCCAATTTGTTGAGCTACAACAAGAATTATCATCACTCCCCCACTATCAGAAGACATGCAATTGAGCAACCGCAATACACGTATAGTATTTAAATAAGTCTCGGCTTGGCCTCCATCTAAGGATCTGGGAAAAACACCTCCCGTAAGGAATGTTAATAATGTCAACATCAAAACCTGCTGCTGTCAAAAGGACAGACGCTTGTTTGATTTACGAGGCAGCTCCTCCTTCACTGCCACGCTGTCTCTTCCCACCTCGCAGAGTTTCACACATCAGCTGGATCTGACATTTGCTGCAGTGATTAAGTGTCTGAACAGCTCCAAATGAATGCGTGCACATTATTAGACACCTTATCCCTGCGAGCTACCTCAAACTGGACCGGTTCCAGAAACTAGAGTTCCCGACGTGCTAATGGAAGAACTGATTTACCTCGCGGATCGTCAACACCCAACAGAACGCCCATGCATGCTAAACTACCTGTGCTCTCCATAGTAACCTCACCACATTTTCCACACACACAGAGCACCTACACACCATCACTGCGGCAACCCTTTCAGATCCCCGTAGGCCTCAGCCCCACCCCGTCACAACAGGCACCGGCTAAAAATAAATTAATAATGTCACAAAGGGTGTTCCTGCGCACACAATGCATTCCTTTGCATCCCAGGAGCCACGGGGAGAAGCTACTGATTGAAATGGATGGGGTCAGGAAGTTCCCCGTGAATTAAACAGGACGGGAAAGGAAGGAGTGGGCAGAGCCGAGCGGGACGAGAAGACGAGAGGACACTAGGAAGTACAGACAAAGTGACAGTAAGAGATATACGGGGGGTTGGAGGAAACAGAGTGCTGAAAGCACAGGGGAGGAGAAGATAGGGAGATCCAAGAAGTTCTATCTCTTCCGTGACTGGTGAGATGAGAGTTGGCACGAGCACAGAGCCATCCCAGATCCGCTCTACGGTATGTTCCCCCTGCTATTCATGGACAATAAATCATTTGGATTTCATGCATTGCATGTCATCAGCCCTCAGAGCTTCTACGAAAACTGTCATCTCTGGGGATTGAGGAGCACGCTGATTATTATGTTAGGCACACCCAACCATTAAAACTATTGGATGTGATTGGAGGGGGAAACATTCCGTGTTTTGAACTTTGATCACTGGATGAATATCAGTAAAAGATTCTCACCACTTGACTAAAACAGGTCTGAACACTCAGAACGGGTACAGCTTAGGTATTTTCTGGGGTACCGAGCTTAAGTTCCATGTGACCTGTAATCACTTGGATTTGTTGTTTGGGCTTGCTTTGCAGATACGATACAGTCCATTTGGTTTGGTCTCTGGGACGTTTGAAGGCAGGATGAACACCAGAAACTATCAGAGCCAAAAGGTCACAGCAAATAAAAGCAGGAGTCAAAGTAGCATGGATGTCAGGACGAGTGATCAGTGCATGTGGTAACTTAGGTGTCATACCTGGATTAGGGTTTCATGGAAGGAAATGGCGGGAAATGTGGGTTTGGAGGTGGCGACTGCATAAGTGTTAAAACGTCTCGAAATACACACTATAAATACACACACACAAGAGTAAATACTCTATGGTGGACCAGAGAACACAAAGCCCAGTGATTTAGGTCATTTTGAGGGAATTCTGTGGCGTTTTCTGGTGTTGGAAGTTAAGAAATGGTGATTTTTTTTAAGAAACACAAATGGTGCTTATTTGTTTTTGTTTTATTTTGATTCACAAGCAACTCTTCTCATTTTAAAACTGCCATTTGTTTTGGGTGACATCTGCTGATGTCATCTCCTACTGAGCTGCAACCAATCAGAGGGAGTCAACTAAAGGTTCCCCTCAGCAACTCTACTGGGCCATTCCCAGTACCTCCCCCCGTTCAGGTGTTACATTCGTTCCTGAAAATGGCCCAGGAGTAGATCCGTCCGGCCAGCCTGGTGAAGCGGGAAGTTCTGGTAAAATTACCTAGAAGTTCAGATTGTGGAAACACACCTACTGTCTCTGTCAACGCATGTGCGCAATTCCATACCCAAGCTGAAGGAGAAGCTGATTAGTTTGACTTACATGTGCTGCGAAGCATTTGGGAAGAACTCGGCGTACTGTGGGGCTGAGTCTTCTGGGCCGTGAGGAGCAGCGTGACTGATAACCATCATCACAGGACGGTGAGGGTAGACCTTCTTGGACATGCGGAAGAAGCTGATGCTATCGTTGGTGATCAGATCCGTGAAATAGTCCTTTGAAAAGAAGAGCAGAACAAGCAGAGTCTTTAAGTGGTACAAGGCTCCAACCCACATCTAGAGGCGTCCAAAGACGAAGGTTCAATTGAGGGAAAATATGCTAAACAGCGAAAGCCTTGATGCAAACTCGTTTGCGGTCCGATCACTGTGACATGTTGATTTACCTCGTCCAGTCATTTTCAAATAAATAAAGAGGGGCCGGTGGGGATATGAAGTGGGGCCATTGAGTGCAGTACAGCACCAATCTGTCGAGTCAACAGCTGGCAGCTTGCCTGTGTGTGTAAATGAGTGTGTGTTCTTGAGTCAGAGAGAGTATGTGTGTGTGTGTGTGTGTGTGTGTGTGTGTGTGTGTGTGTGTGTGTACACTGTATATGGGCTGTTGCCCCCATCAGAGAATCCCTGCACTATCGAATGTGACACCACTTGATGGTGAGGGTAGCTTGGTGCTTTCAAACGGTATGTTGTTATGACAGCTCCAACCCTTCACTCTACTCTGGGCTATTCATTCTGTTCCTGCCACTTGGCTTAACTCAGCCTTATCCCTTTTACTTTTGCTCACAAACTGAACTTTCTACAGAGAGAATAGAAGACCAAACTTGACCTAACATCTCCAAAGACTTAGACCTCGGGGAACACCAAGAAAGACCTGCAGCCAGTGTCTCATTGTGCTACATGAGGTGGTTTCCAAATGTTTCAGAATGTTCCCAAGGTTATTTAATTGCTTGTGCAAGTCTCTCATTTTGCTGGAATGTTGAACACTTTTATGAATTTGCCTGACTGTCTCCCTAATTAGCACGCTGCTGTAGCAGTCGTTGTTGGCTTCTGGAGTTCTCCGTTTCCAGAAGTCTGAAAAATTGGAACAACATTTACAGAGTTGGAGCCCACATTGCAAATAAAATGAGAGCAAATCGAGAACAATTAAATGATTGAATTTTGACCAAAAACTCACAACTTTTGCAATTTCTTTGCAATAAAGTTAACGTCCCATTAGTCGACACGCACTGGTGAAATTATTTCTCTGTGTTTGACCCATCCCCTGGGCAAGCGGTGAGCTGCAGACACGGTCGTGCTCAGGATGCTATTGGTGGCTATTTTTAATTATTACTATTTAAGTTTTGGTGGTTTAACCCCCCAACCGAACCCCTTAATGAGTGTCAAGCGAGGAGGCATTGGGTCCCAAAGCACTAAAGTGCCCAATGTACCAGTTCAGTTGAATTCCATCTGAAAATAATTTCTAACAATTTTATGTCTCCAAACTAGTTGCAGCCCATTGAGAAACAGGCTTTTGGTTCAGGAAATCTAAAACTGTCACAACAAGCCGGAGTGCTGTTTTATGAAAACCATTTTACCACTTAAACTGGAGCCTATTTAAATATTGCCAACTTTCCAGTCATACATCAACTATCCTACCTGAGATTCTGGCATGCTGATTTTTGTTCCCTGGATAATGACAAATGGAAAGGAGTGCCATGTGAGAATGAAAGAGGTGATTTCCCCGAGACGCCAGAACTGGTTTTGGTTGAGTCAAAAGTTCCTATTAATAGTTTTCCTTTTTTATTTTTATAGCCAGGCCAGGAATCTTAACAGGCCCGCGGAGGGTGATGACTAATCAAAGCTCAGCATTGCTGTTTAGCACAGCAATATCCAACAATCTGAGGTGCTGCTGCGATGGGTTCAAGCAGGTCAACAGGAAATCAGAGTGTCATTGGGAATGTGTGGTCAACAGCAATAAAACACTCAAGGGCGTGATGAGTAGCTCTCTTCCCATTTGGTGCTGTTCAGTATTGGCTGTGATTTAATTTTGGTAGTAAATGGTTGCATTTCAATGAGAGTCTTGGATGCAATTTGTGGTTCCAGAGATCAAATCAATGGAACTAACAGCTAAAATGGTTCTAGAACAAGTTCTTTTTTTTTTTTTTTTTTTTTTACAAATAAAAGCTGTTCTTAGTTGGGGCTCACAATGACCCAGGAGCCCTGATAAATGGCCAATACAAGCCATTTATGTGTACTACAATATTATTCTCCTGGTTTTCCTCTCTGGGGCAGCAATAGCTTAGGTGGTAGAGTGGGTTGCCTCATGATCGGAGGGTCATGGGTTTGATTCCAGCTCCCACCAGAGGTATTCTGATGTTGTGTCCTTGGGCAAGACACTTCACCTAACTTGCCTGTGTTGGTGGTGGTCAGAGGGGCCGAAGGCACCAAATGGCAGCCTCGCCTCTGTCAGACGGTCCCAGGACAGCTGTGGCTACGTAGTAGCTTACCATCACTGGCAGCGTGTGAATGTAAGAGTTCACACAAGCGTTTTTGAGTGTCCTAATAAAGCGCTATACAAGTTCGATGATTATTAATATTATTATCCAACATGGATGTTAGCAGTAGTTCAGGCTAGCATTAGCAGTACCTCAGGCTCATGTTAACAGTAGCTCAGGCTAGCATTAGTATTAGATAAGGTTCACGTTAGCAGTAGCTTGGGATAGCATCAGCAGTAGCTCAGGCTCACATTAACAGTAGCTCAGGCTAGCATTAGCAGCACCTCAGGCTCACATTAGCAGTAGCTTGGGCTAGCATCAGCAGTAGCTTAGGCTCACATTAGCAGTAGCTCAAGCTAGCATTAGCAGTAGCACAGGGTCATATTAGCAGTAGGGGCTGCATGACTTAATTTTTTTTAAAGTCGACAGTCAAGGAATGAAAATCGAGTTGATTTTGACTAGTCATTGATGACGTCACACACCTGAAGCGGGGGGGGGGGGGGGGGGGGGGGTTGGCAGAGAGACGCTGGAAGTGGGGATATGGTCCTACAGCCACGTCTCAGTGAAACACATAACACTGCAGATACTCTGACTGAGTCCTTGAAAGGGCTTGGAGTTCATCCATCTTGTTGGCCAGTGGTCTCACATTGCCCATTATGATCGATGGAAGAGATGGTTTGAATTTCCTCTTTCTCTTTTTCCGTTTTGCTCCCGCTCTGCACCCACGCTTCTTGTGTTTTAGCTCATTTGCGATTTGTGGCTTCAGTTGAGGTATTATTTCAGCCTTCCCAATGTTAATTAGCTGCTCCCGATTGTAAACCTGCGTGTTGCCATGGTTACGCATCATAACAAATGCTGAAAAAGTGAAAAATGTGAAAAATTAGCAGTAAAAATCCTCTAAGCCTCACAGCACCAGAAACAGAAAAGTAAAATGTCCACAAAAAAAAAATACAATTTTTCTTGAGAAACTGGAAGACAAAATGTCCAAAAAAAGGCAAAGCATGTATTTTGTGATTTTGCCTCAAAATAAATCCAAAAACATTTCAACGTGCTTTTTCCCATTTAAATAAAGAAAATCAAACGGGACCCAATTGATTTTTATTACCCAATGCCTCATTTACACGCAATGACCTCATGAACCAGCTGTGTGATTCAGCACGGAATCCCCTGATAGTCTCCATGTGAATCTGATTACTTTTTGTTTGCTTAGTGGTTACAGTTGACGACTTTGGTCAGAGAATAGCAAATACCATTTCCATTTGGTTTCAAACCACAATCTGCTGACCAAGTAGATGTCATGTAAACACCCCGGCCTCTCTGCTTGTGGGTAATTTTAACACCTCAGTCCAAGTTGGCAAAAAGAAATGACAGTTCAAACATTTTTTGGCCCATCTTTTGGATCAGCCTTACTTGTTGATTTCTTCTGTATCCAGGACTGAACAACCCAAGAGCATGTTGGCACAGAGCCGTGAAAACAAACTGACAACTCTTATAAAAATATTTGTGGGAGATTCAGAGCCATGGCAGTCCAGAGCAACAACAGGCAGCTGCTGTGCCAGTGTAGCCACAACGTTCATCTCCTAAGCCCAATTTTTACTAACTTCAAGTTTCTTCTCCTATTTTTATTGCCTTTCTATAAAATAAAAACTCCTTTTTTAGCAGTGAGACAGAAAAAGGAGAGTAAAAGTAGACTAAAACAACTGCGGGGTGTTCCTTATTGCAAGCAACATTGGCTTCTCATAAAAAACGCATCCACTTTAAACTGACTAAATATCGAGAGGCGCGTCATAATAAAGGGATGCCACAGAACGGAGACGCCACCTTACCTCAGCTCATTCCCTTTAATTCTCATGTCAGAATTCCTGCCAGTCTAGATCATGACAAAAGTGAAGACTATACTATATTTACAAGGGACTGAAACCTACAATTTGTCAGGTGAAGTCTTTATTTTAAGTTAAAGAGTAAAGAAATTAGTGAGAAATAGAGTATGCATACCTTGGCATAGTCAGCGCCGTGTTTTTCTTTGTAACCATTCCGACAGACGGTGTAATTATAGAAGCGGGAATTTTTAATCAACCCAACCCATTCGCGCCACCCAGGTGGGATGTAGCTGCCATTGTACTCGTTGAGGTACTTGCCGAAGAAGGCTGCAGAGAAGAAGAGAGTGAATGTTTGGTGTTTTTGTCCTGTGAACATGCAAGACGCTCATTTTCAGATAAACTCTTAAAAAAGAAAGACTGGCCATGCACACTGGACCCCACTTAAACGCCTGCCCACATAGGCACAGGCTGATAAGCTGCAACGGCTGCTTGGCATACACAGTGTGTTTGCATTTCTTACAGCAGACAGCAAGGCAAAGTTGTGGATTCTTGCGAAGCATGAACCTTTCAACAATGTGCAAACAGAGTAGCCAGAAGAAGCTGTGACTACATTCTGAAGCGAGATTAGAGTCAGCCATCACCACAAACTGCATCATTTTACCATAAGAATATGAAACAGAAGTAGCTTTCTGCTGAAAATATATATTTTTTGCTTATCAGTGTTTAGAAAAGCCTGAATTTTTGTTTCACCGACCTGTCCTGTAGCCTGTGTTGTTGAGGTAGACCGCAAAGGACCGCGGCTCGTGTTGAGCTTGCCAAGACGGGGAGGAACAGTTCTCGTTGTTGGTGTAAGTGTTGTGGTTGTGGACATACTTCCCCGTCAGCATGGAGGACCGTGACGGGCAGCACATTGGTGTGGTGACAAAGGCATTGATGAAGGACGTGCCACCGTCTTCCATTATCTTACGAGTTTTATTCATCACCTGTAGAGAACCTGCAGGACAAAAATGGTTCAAGTCTTCGTTTTTGTAACAAAAGCTCATAAAACAAACTTCTAGTTGAACTCTGTGTAATAAATGCAAGTTTTTAGGAAAAGTTTCCTTTAGTTTCACATCATTTCGTTGTGCTTCATCCCACTTTATGGCACTTAAAAGACCAGATGGCCATTCAGTCCTTTTTAATATTTAATTTATGAATGAATCCTCATGAGAACAACCAGGAACACAATCAAACAGATTAAAATAAAATAAAAACAGACTAAAATAATCAGTGGACTACATCTAAACTGGGGTTTAGAGGATAACAGGGAGTTTGCCCATCTGCCTTACCCAACTCAACATCCTGGTCGTCGGTCATGATGAGGATGATGTTGGGCCGGATGTTTCTACGGTCTCGCTGGATGCGACCCCGAAGCCCCTGGGCCCTGGTGGTGGTAAAGGCCCAGCTGCCTGGAGTCCAGTCCAGAGACAGCAAGGCCAACCAGGACAGCCAGAGAATCAGCATGGTGTCCGATCCAACTGATCCAACAGGCCACTGGATGGGGCGGTGGGAGGAATAATGGAGAGATGGGAGGGAGCAGAGGACTGGCCAGGCCACTCACTCACAATCATATGGCCTTCACAGGCTGTGTGTGCTGAAATAAAAAAAGAGCATTACACCAAGAAATCTCATTTTGTGGCTATTTCTAAAGCAAAAGATAGGAAAAAGGGAAATAAACAAGGAATTTGAACTTGGAAATATATTCACTCTTAACAAATTGTGTGCATCTTCCCACAATGTGTTTTACTTGGACAACATTTTTACACACAAACAGGGAAGCAATGTAAGATTTAGCTTACGGTGGTCAAAAAACAACCTCTCTATTCTGCAAAGGTCTAGAAGTGCACAGCTCACCTTGGAGGATCCCATGAGTTTAGTTTTTTAGATGTTTTTCTTGATCATCCCCCCCCCCCAGCCTAAACTCCCACACACAAATTCCTCATCTCCACTGCAGAGCTGTTGTTCAGCTCACTGTGCTGTGATTCCACCATGGGCTGCCTGCACTCAAACGCCCGCAGCTGCTCTTCAGAGAGAGCCAATCGGGTTCCACCTCCCACCTGTCACTCAAACGTCAGACCCCCACCACCACCACCACCACTCCTGGAGAGTCAAGCATGGCAGACTTCTGGTGGGGGGAAGGAAGAAAGGTTCCGCCACATTAACTCCTGCATTATTGTCGCCAATCACAGATGACCACTGAGTCATCACAACACGTTGGGGCTTCGCTCTCGCCAAGTCATGGTTGGTCTAAAACCACACACATCCCATCCCATGAGCCCAGAAGATGATGGGTATTTAGGGATTTGGTCCAACATATGATTAGATAAAACATGTTCAATTCAATTTATTACAGTATTAAATAATATCCAAAATGTGGACATCAAGTAAAAAATGTGGAGATTACATCAATTAGCAGGGAGTTTCAGCATTATTATAATACTGGAAAAATGGCTTAAGGCTGTAGAATGAACCATGCAACTGTGATAATGAGTACTCCATCACTGCAGGATAAAAAGTGCCTTATGGCCAGCAATCCCACTGAGTGACACCATTCTGCTCCCCATTCTGAGTTAATGGTCTGAAAACAAGAGGCAGGTCTGTGACACCTGGGCCTGACTGGGGCGGTACCCTCATTTCCACAAAAGGGCCATCCAAACCCAGACAAAACCAAGTCTGCCAAAAACTGATCAGGCATTATGAAAGATAATATGGAGTAAAATTATTGACAAAAAATACTTTAGAATGTGGCTATACAGTATGTTCCTTCATAGATGCATGTCATATAGACGGCCTTAAACGGCTGGATTTCAGGAGCAATGACACTGAGGCAGGAACTTGGCAGGTCACGCAGAGTGGTTTATTTTCCACTAGTTGTCTTGGTACAGGCAGCAACAATCCACACGAGCATGAAAACATGCAGCCTTATATACCCCGCTGCTAATAGGGCTAAACCAACTAGCCCAGCTCACCAGGGGAGCTCCTCTGCTACCCTCACCAAGTATTTCACAACTTAATTTAAATACAAATATTTTCATAACCCATTACCTATACATACAAAAATACAAATGATAAAAATCCTAATTTGCATCTAAACACCAGATTAAAACACCTATAAGAGAAACCCCATTAGAATATTTCCCCCACCCAGTGATAATTGGGGGTCAAGTTAATCAGAATCAGAATAGGTTTATTGCCATTGTCAGTGAAAAAACAATTCACAAACTAGGAACTTGCTTTGGTACTAATGTGCTACATATAACATGAATAATAAGATTAAAAATAGAATAAAACTTTCAGCTATAAAAAAATGGCAGGTAATGGTAACATGGCCGATAACGTGACGTTGTGTCGAGTACAGAAGACCAGCATGGTTGTGTGTTTATAAGCTATTCACAAGTCTAACGGCAGATGGAAAGAAGCTGTTCTTATGGCGGGAGGTTCTGGTCTGGATGGACCGTAACCTCCTGCCTGAGGGAAGCGGCTCAAAAAGTCTGTGACCCGGGTGAGAAGGGTCAGCTGCTATCCGACCTACACGCCCCCGAGTCCTGGAGACGTACAGGTCCTGGAGAGATGGAAGGCTGCAGCCAATCACCTTCTCAGCAGAGCGCACAATGCGCTGCAGTCTATGTTTGTCCCTCACTGTGGCTCCAGCGTACCACACAGTGATGGAGGAGGTGAGGATGGACTCAATGATGGCTGTGTAAGACTGCACCATCATCTGGGCCGGCAGCTTGGCCTTTTTCAACTGCCGCAGAAAGTACATCCTCTGCTGGGCCTTTTTGAGCAGGGAGCTGATGGATGGCTCCCACCTAAGGTCATGTGTGATGGTGGTTCCGAGGAAGCGGAAGGAGTCCACAGTGGCGACGGGGGTGTCCGTCAGGACGAGGGGGAGAGATGGGGCTGTGACTTTCCTGAAGTCCACAATCATCTCCACTGTGCTTCTATTTCACAGTGTAAGAAACATCAGTGACAAAATACTTTACAAACATGAGTAATGAAAGTCCTCTTCATTACAATGCACATTTAATGATTACTTTAAGTTTCATGGCAACCAGTTTAATAAAAATTCTGCTAACAAACACCGTCGGATGCAAAAGCATTATGTGCACTTACTGATTAATGAAGAATATTTTATTATGGAACACTTTGTTTAAAGTGTATTTTCCCTGACGAAAGGAGGCATTACATACATGTACCTCATCAACGGATGGCCATTAGGGTCAAAAATCCCTGGGAGTGCAACCTCCAGCAAAATTACACACATCAGTCTCCCTTCCATCACTGGCAACGAGTGGAGGTAAATGTGCAAAACAACTTTTGTGAATGGGGGTTTTAAATCTGTGTTTTAAAAATCAGTCAAATTCGTTTTGTCCACCCATAGAAGGAAGCATGGCATCCAATATGGCGTCGCCCAGAGACACAATTTTTATGTTGGGATGTTTCAAAGCCTCCTATATTTTTCCAACAACTGGGCATCAATTAATTCATTTTCAACAACATTTTGATGGATATTTACAGAGATTAAGGGTAAAAACTACACATCTCTTTAAAAATTCCAATATTTTGTGGTACACAAGAATGTTTTCATCAGAAAAGCCTAAACAAATTCCTTATAGATTCATGTAGCAGAAAGATCACTCTAAACATCTCTCAGCTACGTTTTAAGCAATAAGAAAGTTGGAAAAAGTCCTTCTAATTCTCCACTAAGTTGCTAAAAATGATCCTTTCAGTCTATTGTTTTCAGACGAGCAGAGTCCGAGCGAAGCCAGTCAGCCATAGTGGCAGCTCTGTGCAAACATTGGCGCCATTTAGACAAACACTCATCCAGCGGACAGCACCGTCTACACACACACACACACACACACACACACACACACACACACACACACACAGACACACACACACACACACACACACACACACACACACACACACACACACACACACACACACACACACACACACACACACACACACACACACCATAAACTAGTCCACGAACTTGTGCTGCCATGCAGAAAGTAAAACAATACTCACACAAATACCCCCCTCCAAAATAAAAAACAACTATATTTCTCGCTATGTGGGTTCAAGTCCTGCTATGTAAACGGGAAGGCTTCCCAGAAACCACAGACACAAGTCATCTCAAGGGAAAAACGTCCAGGCTCTATTTCGGTCAAACTGAAGATCTGAAATCAGACGTAAGCCAGTGGACCAGCTGGTGTAATCTTAGCACCCAGCACAAACTCAATTTTACATGCCAAGGATTTCAAGCAATAAGTTCCTTGTTACATCGGATTCAAACCGTGTGCTGCTGATGTGTTTAGCTACAGTGGAGTCAAAAGCTGCTTTGTTTCAAATGACTGAGATCGCGGTGCTAATTAAGCACCACACAGATCAACTAAAGGGATGAGGGCAGGAGACGAGCAGGCGAAATGACCCACTTCTCCAAGCTACCTCTCGTCCTACTCCTCACAAGGTTGTGTGAAATTCGCTTTGAGCAACTAACTCTACATGTTCAACCACTTCTTGCATTTCAGAGGAACGGATGTGGAGCCAGTTTTTACATCTTTAAAAAATGATTTCAGCCGATTTAAGGCAACAGTTCTGAGCGAGGCACAAACCTGCAACCGTCCAGTTATGGGGTGGGAATTTCACTCCACTTCCATCGTCGTCATCACCAATTTTTTAAAAAGTGACTGGAAATGGTTGCAGATGATCATCAAATCATTAAAGTACTGGTCCTAGTGTCCCGCTAACTTAAGTATTAGTAAAATGGGCTTTGGAACAAGTGTACAAGCAGCAACAAGAGGCTCACATCAGAGCAGTTTTGCTTTTTGTGAACCTGTTTAATGATTCAATTGGATGAAAGCAGGAAATCATGAGGAGATGTTGGAATATGCTGGAGTCAAGGGTACGTAACAAGTCGAAGATCCTGTAAAAGTGGGAGGGATTAAGAAGGCAATCCTGAACAGGACTACAGATGAGGATCGCTGTGATATTCTTGGCTCTCCCTCAGAAATAGGGTTAAACTCTTAGTCATCTGGGAGGGGCTCGGAGTAGATTTGCTGCTCCTCAGCAAGGAGAGGAGCCAGTTGAGGTGGCTCAGGCATCTGGTTAGGATGCCTCCCTGGTGAGGTTTTCTGGGAACGTCCAACCTGGAGGAGACCCAAAGGAAGACCCAGGACACGATGTAAGGATTATGTTTCTCAGCTGGCTTGGGAATGCTTTGGGATTCCCCCGGAGGAGATGGCCTAAGAGGCTGGGAATACGGAAGTTTGATATTCTGCTTAGGTAGTTGCCTCTGCAACCCGACTCCGGATAAGTGGAAGAGCATGGGTGGATGGATATTTGTTTATCCATACAGCTGCAGGCATTCTTAAGAGTTGACAAGTAGCATGACAGGTCCCTCTGTACTAACAGGCACTTTAACTCATTCACTGCCATTGACGACTAAAGTCGTCATTTGCATGTTTTTACTGTGTGGGCGACGGAACGAGCCCCCGCCCCCGCACCATGAGAACAAACATCTCAGCATACGTCACGTGATCAGGAAGCAGAAAATCCATGTGTTAGGAGATCGTTTTGGGCCGC